TACGAATCAGATGAGATCCTATCTGTCTGGTAGCAGTCACTGACCCACATTCTTCAAGAAAGGAGATTCTCTTGTGTTAACCACAAGAGAACCCGTTTGACAAATCCAGTGTGTAGTGCTAGATTCTGTTATCATTATATACCTACCCAAAGGTCAGAAACAGGAGGCTTGGTGGGTTTCATACAAGGTCTTGAGTGCAGCAAACAGAGAGTCATCAAATGAGATGTGTACGTCAAGTGGTGTCTGTTAGGTATTTCCACTGTCTCAATACTTTTTCGCATGCTTTAAATAGTAGCTTGTCGATTGAATTCATACTTAATTCTGAATAATAAGTCCCTCAACACTTTGGTTGTTACCACTGTCGTTTTCCTCTTCAAGAAATGTCAATTACGACATATATTTAATGATAGTTTGTTACAATTTATTGTCCCACTTTAGATGTGCCGTTACGACTTGCCACCACACTATGCATGTTTCTACCCGTCTTATCTACTGACTGATATTCTCTTTTTTGCCAGTAAACTGAATTATGCTAAGTTTTCAATTATGCTCGATATTTTAAAATTCTAAGGTGTCAACCGAAACAAAGTGGATCCTGTTCACCATACTCCAATCGTTGTCCTGCATCTTTTTAAATTCATAAGGAGGAATGCGTGCATAATATCTCTCCTTTCTTTTTTAACTTTATCACTGACTTACTCGTGGAGGTCTTCTTTTCACCATTTGACTTCACAAGGTTTATGCTTGTAACAGGAGAGTCCTCAGTAGACCTAAGAGTACACATGTTTCATAGTACTCTTTGGTGATGCTTACAAGATAGTCTTTTGGATATCTTTAAGTGGCAATCCGAGAATGTTTGGGATGTTTCTCACCATAAAAATGCCAATTAATGCTCCAGAACTAATTTTTGGTGAATTTTAACAGTAATTGCTGGAGTTATTGACTTTTGTGTGTGTGAACTAGATGCGATCCTATCCGACTGGTCTCAATCACTGACTGTCTTAGTCTGCAAGAAATGAAAGACATCCCCCTGTGATAACCATATTAGAACCAGTCTGACGAACACAGTGCATAAGATACTGAGTTTTCGGTAAAGGTGGCGCAGATGTATGCACTCGTAATCTTCGAAGGCGTGAGTGTTGTCATTAAATTTCGTGTATTTATTCTCTGTCCTCTCTCACTTTCTTTTACTTGAATGTCATTCCTTTTCTATCCACTTTTTTCGTTGCACGCCGTGAGTTGTGGCAACTGGAATCGATAAATTGCGTTGTAAGGTTCTACATATATTTTTCTGTTTGTCGCAGAAACTGTCCAAGAAAACTTGTTCTCAGTTGCTTTTAAGGACTAAGGTATGACTGTTCCTAGAAATTTTTCTAGATATGATACTGAGTTTTACACAACTCAATAAAGCCACTATTGCACATATCGTATGTTAAAACCACCAGATTGTTAGTCTGTTACCAGTTGCATGTAAATAGTTGCTGTAATACTTTGGAGAGCCAAAATGATTCGTGACGAGCAGGCGGGTTCTCATTTAAGGTCTTAGATGCGCTGTCCGCTTGTACACCGCCAAATTCTTGAACACCACATGTATTTCAAGTTAACAGCCGTTGCACTACCTGGTATTAGGGTCACCTTTGATTATCTGCTAGGGACAGGTATCACTGAGAACCTCAACATCCTGGAGTTCCTACTCAAAAGCATTTTAGGGACATGTAAAGAGACCAACTGCTTCACTTCATAATTTCAAACCAGGAGAAGGGTTAATCAGGGTTTCGGAACTTTTTAGTTATTCTTTGTCTTTGATGACATGCTACGAAGAGCTTGCAAATGTGTTCTTGGTTCTGTTGACCATGGTTCCAGTATACTACCAATAGTAAGAATTGACAACCATCAGTATATACCGGCGAAACCGTATTACGTTTTTACAGTGTACGCCGTGCAAATTCTATCTGATTATTTAGGGATCATTGTTTGTGGGTATCGTACATGTTTTGCATCAACAGAGTGTCAGTCACTTTTTCGAAATCGATTGAGGTTCATGGCTTCATTCACAGGTAAAGAGGAGTCACCCGAAGTTTTCAAAGAGGTTACTGTATTCGAGTAGTCTTGTGTGCGCTAGTGAAGCTGCGCGTCTGGTTGACACTTCCTGGCTGTCCACCGTGGAAAACTATCTCTTCTTAAGGTACCTGAATGAAAAAAAGTTGTGCCCGCAGAGCCCATGGGACATCTACTTGAAGTTTTTCACACAGCCTTTTGAAGGATGTTGTTTTGAGGTTAGAATGTTCGAACGCTGGATAAAGAGAACCCATACCACCGACACCGAAAGACCGTGGGGCAGGGATGTGTGTGTGCCATTTTCTGGTCCGACTATTTCTATCCCACCTCCTTCGCAAGAGTAAGTCAGCATCAGCATAGGACTGATGGTCCTTCAAGGGAAACGCCTTACTGCTGTCACACGCCATCCAGCTAGCAGCAATACGACTTTGCCGTCAGACCCCTATCATAGGGTAGCAATTCGCACTATAATGGTGACTGCTTTTGGTCTCACTACTATCCCACATACGTTTCTGGCATGATAGGTCCTTAAGGGAATAAGTGTTCTACCAGAATGGCTGGTTGAGTTATTGTGATGTTCAAGGTTGACCACCACGTCAAGGTGGCAGTTATCGTCTGGGTTATATGGCGACACTACAACGGAGTTGAACTCCCTCTTAGGCATGTTGCAGTCATCACTAACACTACCACGCCTCTCTTATCAGTCATGATAAACGTTTATATAAATTCCGGAGGGTAGTTATTAAGAAGTAGCTTCTTTGATCTGTTGCATTTCCTTATTTAGGTCCTCTGATTTACCATTCAAACTCCTAGCTCGATTACTTAGACATTTTATCAAGCCTACTTTGGCAGATATAGATAGGGTGAGGTGATGTTAAATCCAAGTATCTATTCGAATGCATTGGTTTCCTATAAACACTGGTATCTAAGCTTCCATCTTCTCTCCTCTTGATTTTGTGATCCAACGTAGGTAGTCCTCCTTCAATTTCTGATTCATTAGTGAATTGGATTGCACCTACTATCAAGTTGAGGTGTGCGAAAAAACTCTGGATATTTTCTGATGTCAACACAGCAAACGTGTCATCTACATATCGCCACCATACTTTTGGGGTGGGTTGGAATGTTCGTAATTCTATTTGTTCCGGAATGTCCATAAATATGTCTGGTACGATTGGGGATATTGGTGATCTCATTGCTACTCCTTCTTTTTGTTGATATATTTTGTCTTGATATTTCATAACTGTGGAAGATAGACAGCCTTATGCGTAGCATAATTTCTTCAATAGAAATTTTAGTTCTGTTATTGAGTTCATGGTCAGTTGTGAGTTAAGTTGTGACTGCCTCAAGTCCCATATTAATTGGTATATTTCTATAATGGCTTGTCACATCAAAACTGACCATCTTTTCTCACTCCTCTAATTGTGTATTATTTAGTTCGTCTTTCAATTGAAGTGAATTGGTGAGTCTAGATTTAGAGCTATTTCCAATAGAGGATGGTGTTGTAGGTAAATACTTAGATAACTCATCTGTTGGTATATTTCTAACGTCAACTATTGGCCTATTAGGATAACCTAGTTTATTGACCTGGGTGATATCATAAATTCTACTAGGATTTTTAGTTGTAGTCAGTAAATTAAACCACTGAGACTCAGCCAGTGATGACTTCATTCGGGGTATTAGATCCCCTGTTGACTATTCCTTATACCTCTCCTAGATGGGTATTTGAGAATAGTATAGACTCCTCTTTTTTTTGACATAATGATTGAAAACTTCTGTTCCGGAAAAAAATAAAGAGCATCAAACTGAAGTGTAGCATAGTTAATCCGGGCTAGAAGAAACTGTAATTTAATACAATGAGAAATAAAGTTTGTAATATGGTTTTTATGTAAAGTGTCTCTCGAAAGTGTTAACTCAGCAAGCAGCATCATATGTATGGTAGTTAACCTTTGAGATATCACTACATACTAAGCTTGTTCTGTGATACTAAGGTTACTCATACACAAGGTTAACAGTTATCCTTGCCGATTGCATTGTCTATCTCATATGTACTACTAAAGGATCATGGTTTCAAACAGCGCTTTGATTACTGAGCTCTTGGCAGCCAAGTAGTATCAATAATCCTTTCGTCATCTCCTACTACATAGATCTATACATGATTCTTGAGTAACTGAATTTTGTGCATTTCGAATTAACTGTGAGTTATAGGTTGAATTCCGTCTCACCTGTTAAAGTTTGAATGGCTAACTTGATATGATATAACATGTGCTATATGTACCCGGTTCGGTTACTAAACTGACTAGATCTTATGCTGATTTTGTGTGATTTAACAGTATTCTGAATCTCAGGTGTCTTAGATCACTGAAATTCCAACACATATTGCTTATCATTTATGAATACTTGTTATTCCCCATTATCATTCTGTCTGTGTCATCACATGGTTCCTTCAACGAACGTCTAAATGCTGCTTTGAACTCTCGTGATGGTGCCTAGCAATCGAATTCAAATAATACGTTACATCCTATTTTGAACTTATCATTTGGATGGATCTGTATTCCAATGAGTGGTGGTGTCTTAGCTGAGGTGTGAAATCGGCGCATATAGCTTCGAATACATGAACATTATAAAATGGATGAATAAAATGTATTCTCATGCAGTAGGACATGAGCCACACATACTATGAGTGAGGGCCAATAATAATACCTGCCTGCCCAGACCTTGGAAGGTGTGGCGGGGTTCGAACCAATGATCTACTGGTTGAAAGTTAAATGCTTAGACCAGTAAACCGCATCTCCGCAAGCATTACGCGCTAGACCATTAGGTTTTAATATCTCACTGTCAATTGGACTATATTTTAGTAGTTTTTAATAATTTGTGTTCATCCTCTTAACTTGCTTCCTCTTTTCTCTGCATTTCACGTCTCTTCAATGTGTAATCATGTGCAGTCATAATGGACATCCAGTGGATTTATCTCAGTCATTCAGACTTTCTGGTCTTGTTAATCATGCTGACTTAGAGCTTGTTTTGTCAGATACACGTGATCAACATCAGTCTATTGTACGTATTTGTTTTCGTTTCGATAATGGTCAACGTGTGGAATGGAGTGGTAGTTCTGATACGTTTATTTGGTCAGTTCTTGAACAATTAGCACCCAACAATTCACGGTATGTTTACAAAGCATTTTTTCCGTTGCTTTATTTGTAGTTTATTCATCTGCAATTTGATCAGGCATTGTTTAGGAGGTCAGGAGTAGTTAATTTCGGTTGTCCGTATATTTATTAGCTTGTTTAAACCTTAGGCTTTTAGTACTACTCTATTCAACTCAACAAAAATATTTCGGTCACAGATCGTCAACTGCTTAAACTAAGTCACTGCTCCAAATATCAGGATAGAGAAGGTGGACCACCACAGCGGTTGTTAGACTAAGCATCCAACAGTGAAGCGACCGCCTCCGGTGCCCGATTACATCACTACAACCATTCTTCTAGACACCGCAAAAGAAATAACCTTTCACAATGTAGGCAACCGAAAAGTGTCAACCGCCCTCTCAACTCAGTCAGAACTCAGACCGCTCCATATCAAACTAACCGACATTTTTGCCTTCTAATCTTTTCTGATTTCTCTTGGTCAATATTCCTACGTCATCTTTAATACCTTTCAGCGCTGTAGCGCTTGATGATGATTAGAGTTCACAGAAAAGAATCCTTAATCTCGTGAAACTAAGCATGCTGCAGACTACGCATCGGAACTTCAATGTCCATGCTCTCTGTCAAATCCGACAGCAAGCTGTTCTAGTCAAAACTCTTACAACTCGGGCTATGGACATGTGCTGTGTTTCTGAGACACCTACAGGACGCAAGTGTTCATTCACTTAACCTCACGTGGTTACTATGTTGAACCTACGAAATTCATCTTTCAAGTCTCTGGGGGTCACACAGTTCTCGCTATCTTGCAGGTGTACGAATAGCGTGAAATGCTACTGTAGAAAGTGCACCACTCGACTGGATCCCAGTTGACAGTCGCCTATGCGCTGTTAAACTGAATGGCACAATGATAACTAAAAGAAATAGTGAAACACTGTCGTCTCTTTGTAATCTGTGCTTACGCACCCGCTAACTGAAGCTCGGATGGAATGAAGGATGAGTCCTGCAGAAAATTACCCAGCCCCCTACTATTGAAACCAAACATTCAGACCTGGTTGTTGTAGCGGGCGATTTCAATGCACAAATAGGTTTAAACGAAAAGTTGAAATGAACTTGGCAACAATGTGGTGTTGTGGCTCATTAGTCTTGACATTCGACTTCCAACCGATGGGTCACCGGTCCGAATACCACTCTACCAACGGAGGTGTGAGCAAGCAGGTAGTAAGACAGGCAGACTGGAAGCGTGCGAGCGGTCGACGCTTCTCGGCTGCTCACGCTGTAGAAGGCTAGTTCTTCTTGATATACCTGAAAAAGAAGGGATAGTGCGTGACCGCAAAGTCCAAGGGACATCTGTTTCAGGCCTGTCACACATGACCTTTTTGTAAGTTTAAGATTTTGGTTTTTCGCTTTTCAATTCGGCTAAAAATCCCTGTCTCAGGCATTGGCGTGCCTCAGGTGGGTGGGATTGTGCTGTTTCTGGGATCAACCTCTGCTGACCCCCTCCTCCGTTACCAAAGGGAAGGCAGCATCAGTGTAGGACTGCTGGTCCTTCAAGGGAAACATCTTACTGCTGTCACATGCCATCCAGCTAGCAGCAATACGACTTTGCCGTCAGACCCCTATCACAGGGTAGCAATTCGCACTATAATGGTGACTGCTTTTGGTCTCACTACTATCCCACATACGTTTCTGGCATGATAGGTCCTTAAGGGAATAAGTGTTCTACCAGAATGGCTGGTTGAGTTATTGTGATGTTCAAGGTTGACCACCACGTCAAAGTAGCAGCTACTGCTCTGACCAGGTGGTTAGTACTCTTAGCTTCATGCAACAGGTGTGACTCATCCCCTACTGCAAGAACGTGCACAAGGTTGCTGAGTGGATCCAGATAATTTTAGAGTTGGTAATAAGCCACACCACTTATCTGAGAGCTTACGACACTATCCGATTGTCGAGAATATGGTAGATGGAGCTGGACGAGAAGCCGTGACTCACTGAATAAAGGTCAAGAGTCTAGACTAACAACCCTAAGCCTCACAAGTCAGTAGGCTATGTGAGACAGAAAAGCATTCAGGTGGCTTTTTCGCAATCCCAGCCAAGCGAATAGCTAACGGCGATTACAGGCCACTATTGTACTGAAGCAGTCACCCATTTCTGGCCAGCATGCACCTCACACATAAAAACATTCTCTAACACATCATCCACTGACTTCAACACAATGGCTGACACAGATAGACCATATTACTATCAGTTATCGATGAATGGTTAGTGACAGATTGTCATGCCATTCAGAGCACGTGTTTGGACAGTGATAAAACGTGGTTCAAGCATGCTTCTCTTTGCTATTAAATGAATGCAGAAAAGCTAGACTTACAACACCCTTCTCAGTCCAACTAGTTCGTAAGAATACTAAGGGTGGTTTCAATGAGCAACTGGTTAGGTAGTTTTCCGGACTGAACAATGGCTCTTACACTGAAGAAACCCGGCTCCACCTCCAGTCTGTTGTTAAAACAGTGTTAAAGGCTGTAAGTGACCCTCAGACAAAGGTTAGACAGGGTAAATCATCAACACTGCCCACATAGAACCAGGCATTACTGAGTAACGGTCCGAGTTGCCACAGCTCATATCAATCAGTACATCAAGTAAAAAGGCAGTGAGGTGCAAGATGAAGATAAGAAAATTCAGTCAAAACAAACACAAAGTACGAAAAGTCAGAAAGGAAGGATGAGAAAATGGTGAGATTTGGTATAGCATCGTTAAGATGAGGATAATGTGTGTATACATCTGCGCCACTGACATCGGTTCTGAGCCATGTGATCACCTAGGGTCTCCAACCACTGGTTCCTCTCGTCCCGCCCGCCGACCCCAACCACCCAGTCTGCATCGCCCCACATGGCTCTAAAACCAACAGTCAAAGACTTCATGCATTGGTGCCATGTTTTAGTCTGACCACCTCGGGTCGTATTCCAGTTTGGAAGTACTTCAGTCAACATTGTGTGGTGAGGCAATCAGTGACTAGGCATACGTAATACGTGTTCCAACCATCTCAGTCAATGAAGGTTCACAAGCGTGTCAACTGATTTACCTCTCCTGCCTAAAACTACACCTGACGGCTTTGGTGGTTTCGTTGTCAAATATTTCCTACGTCCATTGAGACACAGGCATATACGCACTCGGACCAACACGTGGTCGCTGTCCAAACACGTACTCCAGAAGGAGAGGCAGTCTTCCACCGACCCTCTCCAGCGATGACTAATAGCAATGTGGTCTATCTGTGTCCATCGTTGAGTGAGGTTGGGGGATGCCAAGTCAGACTGTGTCTTTCTTTATGTCTGAAATTTGTGCTAGCTAAAAATAGGCGGTTATCTGACCATAGATGTAGTAGGTGATCACCGTTATCTGTACGTTCATCTGGGATTCCGAAAGTGCCACCTAAGTGCCTTTCTGCCTCACTCAGTCTACCCACCTGTGCATTGATGTCACCTGCAACAACCACTACATCCGAACGTTTGGCTTTCGAGAAGAGGCTAGACAGTTTACGGTAGAACTCGTCCTTCACTTCATCTGAACTTCAGTCAGTGGGTGCTTAAAAACAGAGATTACAAAGAGACAACGATAAGTCTCACCATTCCTTTTAGTTCTCACTGTTCCATTCAGTCGGATAACACAGAGGCGACTATCAAGTGGGATCCAGTCTAGTAGTGAGTTTTCTGCCCTAGTGCTTAATGCTATGGCTACACCTGCAAGACCCCAAGAGCTAGCTATCGAATGTTCAGAAACTCGAAGGGTGAATTTTGCGGATTCATCAGATTGACCGGTAGAGGTCAGGTGAATAACCGCTCTTGGGTCCTGTATGTGTGTCTCACAAACACAGTACACATCCATGGTCCGAGTTGCTAGAGTCTTTGCCAACGAGGCCTGTTGACCAATTTGAAGGCTCCAATATTTAATTTTGAGCGTGATTTAAGGAGACCAGGGATGCTGTTTTGTGGACTCAGATTGTTGTCGAAGGCTGCAGAGCTAGGAGAAATTAAAGTATCTTTGATTGAGAGACGTGAAGGAAGATTAGAAGGTAATGATGGGGGAGGTGGATAGCAGTCTGAAGAAACTTGAGTGCTGATCGAGTTGTGAAGGCGGTTGACACTTCCGACAGCCCACGCCGTGGAAGACTAATTCTTCTTGAGGTGCCTGAAAGAGATTTGTGTGACTGCAGAGCCCATCGGACATCTGTTTGAGGCCTGTCACATGTTGCCATTTGAGTATGATTATTTCGAAGTTTTGTATTTTTCTTGGGGCCGGAAGGTCGAAATTAAACGACAAATGAACGAACACCGCCTGCCCGGCAGACCGTGGAGCATGGTGGAGTGTGTTATTTTTGGGGCCGACCTTCCCCAACCTGCCCCCCTTCAACTGAGAAGGCAGCATCAACATGGCACTGCTGGTCATCCAAGGGAAACACCTTACTGCTGTCACACCCCATCCAGCTAGCAGCAGTACGACTTCTCCCTCAGACCCCTATCATAGTGTAGTAATTTACACCACAACGGTAACTGTTTTTTGTCTTACCACTATCCAACAGGCCTTTCTGGTATGGTAGGACCTCGAGGGAACAAGCGTTCCACCAGCATAGTTCGTTGGGTTATTGTGATATACAAGCCCGACTACCACGTCAAGGTAGCAGCTATCGGTCAGGGCAGGGTCACTTGACCTCATTAACTTCTGCTGAATTAATGTATACATGCGAATGCTTTTTGTCAGGGCCCGAGCACCTTCAGAAGTAGGAGCAACTCAGATGTAGACTAAAAAAGTCTAAATGAATATTTATTCACGAACATCAGTGGGCAGTGAAGACCAGTTAGACGGAAAAGATAGTAGACCTTGCAACTGTTGTAGAAGTTGATAAGGCTGTAACTTGAAACGAGGAAGGTCAGTGGGCAACGATGAGCTTGTACCGGAGGTATTTAAGTACGGTAGTCGACTAATTTTGTCTAGATTATCTATAGTGTTTGCAGGCATATACGAATCAGATGAGATCCTATCTGTCTGGTAGCAGTCACTGACCCACATTCTTCAAGAAAGGAGATTCTCTTGTGTTAACCACAAGAGAACCCGTTTGACAAATCCAGTGTGTAGTGCTAGATTCTGTTATCATTATATACCTACCCAAAGGTCAGAAACAGGAGGCTTGGTGGGTTTCATACAAGGTCTTGAGTGCAGCAAACAGAGAGTCATCAAATGAGATGTGTACGTCAAGTGGTGTCTGTTAGGTATTTCCACTGTCTCAATACTTTTTCGCATGCTTTAAATAGTAGCTTGTCGATTGAATTCATACTTAATTCTGAATAATAAGTCCCTCAACACTTTGGTTGTTACCACTGTCGTTTTCCTCTTCAAGAAATGTCAATTACGACATATATTTAATGATAGTTTGTTACAATTTATTGTCCCACTTTAGATGTGCCGTTACGACTTGCCACCACACTATGCATGTTTCTACCCGTCTTATCTACTGACTGATATTCTCTTTTTTGCCAGTAAACTGAATTATGCTAAGTTTTCAATTATGCTCGATATTTTAAAATTCTAAGGTGTCAACCGAAACAAAGTGGATCCTGTTCACCATACTCCAATCGTTGTCCTGCATCTTTTTAAATTCATAAGGAGGAATGCGTGCATAATATCTCTCCTTTCTTTTTTAACTTTATCACTGACTTACTCGTGGAGGTCTTCTTTTCACCATTTGACTTCACAAGGTTTATGCTTGTAACAGGAGAGTCCTCAGTAGACCTAAGAGTACACATGTTTCATAGTACTCTTTGGTGATGCTTACAAGATAGTCTTTTGGATATCTTTAAGTGGCAATCCGAGAATGTTTGGGATGTTTCTCACCATAAAAATGCCAATTAATGCTCCAGAACTAATTTTTGGTGAATTTTAACAGTAATTGCTGGAGTTATTGACTTTTGTGTGTGTGAACTAGATGCGATCCTATCCGACTGGTCTCAATCACTGACTGTCTTAGTCTGCAAGAAATGAAAGACATCCCCCTGTGATAACCATATTAGAACCAGTCTGACGAACACAGTGCATAAGATACTGAGTTTTTTAACCACCAGACACTTAAGTGTAACTCCGTAACAAGAAACTCTTTGGGTTTCATACCTGGTTTTGAGTACACCTACAAGTCGGTGACTCTCCGCGATGTCTTAGGGCATAGACACTGACCAGAGTTAAACGGTAGCCGTTTGCTGATCTTGAAGGTTGGTTTTAACTCCTATGATCGGGATGTTTTATAGCAGTGTGTCACTGAATGGGGTTCCGAATAAGTGTCTCACTCTGTTGAAGACCTAATATTTTGACTACTGTGGACATGTTACCGTTTATGGTGAGTTGTTAGCTGAGTGGTGTCCGTCAAGGATGTCTTCTGTCTCCGCTGTTATTTGATTTTGTCATAGACATGCTTATGAAGGTCTCCCAGTTTAACCTTACAGGGATTCACTTAGTCACAGGAGACTCCTTAGTATATCCAGAGTACTTATGATATAGTTCCGCTAGGTGAAGATGCTGGTGAGATTCAGAGACCTGTAAACATATTGAGGGGCAATTTTAGAATGTCTCAGATGTGTCTCACCACTGAAATGAAGTTTTTCACTCCAGGACTGGTCTGTGTTGGCGCATGTTGACCACCTTACTTACCTAGGTAGTGGAATTGACTATTGTGATCCAATTACCCATGAAATCTGTTCTCGGATACGAAAGGCTGGCTTGGATTTCGTCAGCTTACATCACCTATGATGTCAGTGAGATATCCAGTTACCCACTAAAGGTTTCATTTACTGCTCAGCGGTTTGATCTGTCCTATTATATAGCTTTTAAAAGTGGACGATATGATAGGACTTCAGGTGTTCGATCAACGTCGCTTTTATAGCATGAACTGTGTTGTAGAACCTCTATTTAGGTGATGCAGAAATTGATTGTAAAGTTTCAGACAGCAGAGATAAATCAGTTTATGCGGTTGTAAACCTCCATAGACCTAGATGGCTGGGGCATATGTTACCTATGCCTAGTCACCGCCCGCTTCGTCTTGCACTGTTAGCTGAAGTAGGTTTATACTGGAAAAATTCTAGAGGGGTGGGGGCAGACTAAAGTATGGCGTTGGTCCCCAGAGTCTTCGTCTGTTATTCTGAGCCATGTAAGGAAAGTAAACTTCCTGGTTAGGGTCGCATTCACAAGATCGATGGTTGGAGACTAGGTAGTATGGCTCAGAACCGATCACAGTAACGAAAATGCATCCAAACTCTATCTTCGTCTTAGTGGTTATACCAAGTTTCGTCATTGTTTTGACCCTTATTGTTCTTCTTTTACAACTCTCTGCAACTTTTGATTGCTTTCTTCCTTGTTTTTGTACATCTTTCATCTTGCCACCATCTATATTGATGTAGTGACATGACGTGTGTAGCAACTTGAACCGTGACACAGAAGTCCCGCGTCCCTTGTTTATACTAACTGACTGAGATAGATATCAGATTGGAAATAACATAGTCCTATAAGTAGTAGTAGTAGCTATCGTAGGTTTGTCGGTGATTATTCATATCTGTTCATATCTATGATGTTATTGAATTAGACACACAGTTTTGAACCGTCGCTCCATCTTCTGAAATTTAGACAACCTCTTCCAGTGTGTGTGTGCAAACATGTTTGTCTTTACTGAATTTCAGCTAGCAACTAGTCACGGTCGTCAATCTCAGATCAGTAAGGCGTGAATAAGTTGCTGATTAAGCCGTTATCTAGGAAGTCTGTCAATCTCATTTTTTTTAGTTGTTAAACGACAATTCCTTTTTTTTTCTTTCACACAGCATTGAAGAAATAATGTCTTCAGACCTTATTACATCTGGTATTAGTTGCCCAGCGGTAATCTATTTTCAAGAAAAGGTAAGTGTTTTGTAATTATATCCTACTGTTTAACACAGATAAATTTGTTGAAATTTCCGAAATTGAAAAGACTAGCTGGCATCCATATGACCTATTGTATGCAAGATGATACTCCAAGTCGTCCTACTTTCACTAACTTCTAACTTCAGGATATTCAGTGTAGTGTAGTTGACTTCACTAACCCGCTCACTTATTTACGAATTGGTTACTGACGATTGATAAGGATAAGTATAAATTAAATTCTTGAACCAGCTACATCTAAGTTACCAAGAAGATACCTACTGAAGAACAAGTAAGCTACGCAAGAGAGAAGATTGAGGTAATACCGTTGACTGTGGACAACACGAAAATGTGATTTTTATCTTCCTACTATTGCTCACTTGTAGTGAAGTCACGTAGGTGACAGTATTGAGGTCTTAAGCATGGAGTTTTAGGTAAGTGACAGGTCGATCGATAAAGTTATTGGAATTTATCGATTGAGTTTGTTGAAGCATGTGTTTCACAAGCCGAGTCCAGCCATCACCTACCTTGAAGGATCAGGTTGGAAGAAGACCAAGGTCAGACCATGGTCAGACTAAAATGTCTCACTGATGCATGTGGTCTTTAACTTGATCTGAGTCTTGGAAGGAAGTACAGGTTGTTTGACCAATATGCTTGAGATGTTAGAAATCAGTGGTTTTAGATGTGACTGAAAATCGTTTCCAATGACTTAGACGTGTACACTTTTCGTCATCTTTAAAGCCTTGACTATCTTCTTTTCGTACAGCTTTCTTACTGTCAATGTTGACACCAATTGTAATGTCAAGCAGGAAAGTACGGGGAAATTCACCACCACAGGCTTTTTATTTCACAAACACCTGATTGGATTTTACAATATAGTAACCAAGTCCAATGGGAAATATAGACACAGCAGGTGAAGATTGTTAGCAGTAAGAACGATAAGGATAAAGTTTGCTTATGTATAGGTGATTGGAAGGGAGATTATTGAGTTTCAACAGAGGGCGTAAGTGAAAAAGCTGATAATAGTAGGATGATTATCACCGTAACAACAGGTTTCAAGTTAGTATTTATCATGGACTGACACTAGTTAAAGAATCATTAAAAGTCTGGAGGTACCGGACAACTGTTTCGTCCCAACATGAGATTCCTCTGCAGTGTACACTCATGGCTGTGCCAGGGATCATAGGTTAGAAATGAACATTTTAAGTCACATGATATGAATGTCAGTCAGTGACGAAGATTTAACTTAAATGTTCGTGATTATGCTGATTCTGCGAATGCTTCTCTGAATCTTGACAATAATTCTACTACAAAGCGCTGATTCATGGCTAAATATTGATCTCCTGTGTTTATTTTCAAACGTTTAATTGTTTTTTTCCATGCATTACATTTATGTGTTATTTATGTCTAGGTGGTTGGTGAGGCCAGTTTACGGACAACTACACTAGCTAACCTGGGTATTATCCGCGGTTCAGCACTGCTACAGTTAGATACTGTTCCGTGCACGTCAAAAACGGATCCATCTTCTCAATACTGTGCATCAATTGAATCTTCAAAGATAATCACCAGTAAAGATGGTAACATTGTTGAAAATATGGAATTGGATACTCCAATGCATCAGGATATATCAAATAAAGATACGCATACAACTGATAAAGTAAGTGGGTTTTATCTTTTTCATTTTCTTATTCATCCCAATAGAACATTCTAGAATCGCGGATAAACTCAGCCTCACCACATTTCGGCAATGCCAAACCGCAGTTGGCAACTTCATCAAACCAAGTAATTGAGAGTGATCACGACTATGACAACTTAAATAATATCCCAGAAATCAGTGAGTTTTATATGACTTTACATTTTTTCATCCTTCATTATCACTATACTATTAAAGGGAGCGATTTTAGTTGGATGGTAGGAACCGGCAGGAAGCTTTGAACCTGGGTTTCACACCTTTTATCACTCTTCAACAAGGCTTATCTGATATCCCGCCTATGATTCGAACGCGCGCCACCTAGTGCTGCAGTCGGAGAAGTTATCACTTGACCATCCTGGCCTCGATTGACCTCCAGTAGGGACTGGATTATGTACACTGATTGGCCACTGGAGGGTAAACAATCAATGAGAGTGGTTTATTTTGTCAACTCACTTTACTATACGAAGAAGGCAGAAGATGAGATGCTGTTAGTTAATCTCTGCTCAGTGTTTTAGTTTCAAGGGTCTACTTACTGTCCTTTCTGAATTGATTCGACCTCACTAGTTGTCGGTTAGTATTATGACGTCATCTGCACAAAATAAGCTCCTCTTCTGGGTACTTTAAGTCAGCTTTTTGCTTCACTCTTCTTGGGTCTTAGAATACACTCATGTGTGTGTGGATTCTATTTTAAAGCTTTGGCTTGCGGGTGCAAACTCACCTCCACCTACTTCGAACTGAGTGACTTAGAAGTAATTATCATAAGTCCACATACATTAAACGTGGTTCATAACTTAGTACGTTTCAACTGGACATGGGTTTATGAAATGAAAAGGAAGCAATCTAGCAGTTGAGATGGATCGAATGTTTGATTGGTCCTGCTATATAACATGATTTATCATTATTGGCATACTGCTAATGAAGTCTCCTCATGGATACAATAGGCTCGATAAGCTTAGGGCATCTTGCACCACTTGTAGCACCAACAAGAGGTCCGGTTACTTGTTGAGTGTCGGGTGTACTGTACAGCAGTTTACACTGCCCTAATTTAGCGTTGTTAAGACATGATCTCTGAAAGTGAAGGATACAAGACCACCGCTGTCCTTTGTATTATCGGTTGTGCGTCAAGAAATCTTGAAAAATGCAGATATAAAGTCTTAGATAAGGGTGAGGAGTCAGTTGGTGTTGTGAACCCTCATCGATTGGGACATCGCTAGTCCATTGTCTACGCTGATAAACTGTATTAGCCGAAGAAGGGTTAGTTGAGGAAGCGCTTAGAGGAAGGACTAGACCTCTGCCCTATTTATTATTTATCTATCAAACTATGGACAGTGTCATTCAGTTACGCTTCGAATTCGTTTGTATGAGATGTATGTTTTAAATTGTTGAATTCTTGCACCATTTTCACTTTTCCATTTGTGTATCATATTTTCCACGTGCGTTCATTATTTCATTGGTTCGCGACAGTTTTAATGAATCGTTGGTCGTTTGGTTGGATGAGTTCATAGGTTCTGAATTTATGTGAAAGTTTGTTGTTGTTAATGATGAATAGTGGCTAGCAGTGGAATTCAGTACACGTGTTTCGTCTTATTCGGGACTCATCAGTCAGATATGCCTGGTTGATTCCAAAGTGGTTTTTTCTATTACGGACTGACCCCACTGGATAACCACCAAAAACATGAGAGCTTTGAATATTTTTCGTCTCAGTTTGGTACCCTTCAATAGTGTACTCACACTGAGCGTATTGCCATTTAGCCACTAGGTTGAAATCAAGTCATTTTGAATGTGCTTTGCTGAGAAGTTCCAATCAAGATGTAAATAACTGTCCAGTCCTCTCAGGTTTTCAATATTTCTCCAATTCACTTCAGTATATGAATTGGTGTTGGATTTATCTTTTTTGTCTAAAATCAGTTTAAAAAGCTTTCAACAATTGATTATATTTTAGCTCCTATGGATGAAAGTACCTTCACAGGGTTTGTTTCACCATTCAGTGTGTTTGCTGATCGCCCATCAACTTCTGCGTTTGCTAATGTTGGACAAATAGAAACCAGAGATCCTCCAGGTGAACAGAATAAACAAGTAAGATCCTCGTTTGACAAACACTTTAAATTAAGAATGGGGAATTCACATGAAGATATTTGCATTTCATGGAAGGATTGTCCACGTTTTTCACCAAGTTCACTTACATTGGTAGCCATCTTAGACACTCTCCTGTTGTGATCAGTATTCTTGTTCTCCTCCTAAAGACATTTTAGAAACAGGTTGAAGGTCGACCCACTTTGCCAAAAGTTACAACTTTTGTTGTGTTTGTGAGTTTCGAAGAACTTGTCAAGTGAAGCATAATTCTAACCATGATCAAATGGCTTGAGTTTGGGTGTCTAGACAACTAAGCTACAGCTCAATCAAACATAACCTAGCCTCCTCATCTTTGTCTCCTGGCTTACCTTCACTTTCTGATGCCAATATTGAGCCTCTGACAACTTCCTCAACTTCTCACTCTGTTACCGTTGCTAACTATCTAAACCAGCGAAAAACCATTCTTAGTCACCTAAAACCTCGCTACCGACTTTAAATTAGCGCGTCTCTTGTCAAAACTCCGGAATCTCGAGCCATGGATGTATGCTGTGTCTGTGAGACACATATACAGCACCCGAGTGTGGTTATTAGCTCGACCTCACCTGGCCATAGTAAGGAGTCTTCAAATTCCACCTTAAGAGTATCCGGAGACCCAGTGGCTAGCTCTCGTGGACTCCTTGGTGCGGGTACAGCATTGAGTTGTATAGCAGAAAGCGCACCTCTCCACTAAATACCAGTCAACAGTCATCTGTGTGCTGTTCGACTGAATGGATCTGTAGCAACTAGGAAGGATCATGAAACTAGCTGATACCTATTCGTAATATCCGCCTACGTAACCACCGACTGTAGTTCGGATGATGCAAAGGATGAATTATGTGAGAAGCTGTCGATTTTGCTATGGGAAGCGAAACGTTCAGATGTGGTCATAATAGCAGGTGACTTCAACGCTGAGGTAGAGAAGCTGAACCAATCGGAAAGGTATTTGGGAGGTATCTACAGAATCCCATGCCAACAAACCGACAACGGTGATAGTCTTTTGCAATTTTGTTTTGACAACCACTTTTTTCTGATCAGGATTAACTTTAATCATATGGAGAGACACTGTCTCACATAACATCTGCCGACATCATATTGCTAAAGGCCATCGTTGTAGAGGATCGGTGGAGGATTGTCGCTCTTTCCGGAGTGCCAGTTTGGACTCCGATTACGCGTCAGTATGGGCTCGTGTATGTCTGCGTCTTACTGGTCACAGGAAACAGGAGATAATAAAGCCTGTCTATGCTCTATTGGAAGATGGGGGGCGCCAAATACCCATTCATTGAAGAGATAGCTAAGAATTTATCTCAACATGAGAGCAGTGCTCAGCCTGAGGGAACCTGGCGTGATATTGAGTCTTCTGTAGAAACAGTGGTAAAAACAAATGTTTGCCTACATATGAAGGTTGGCAAACGTTATTGGATTTCCGCAATGTCATCCGAACTGATCGATGCAAGAATACTGATTCCAGCTGGCTCTGTCAACGATGAAGAACGAAAGCAAGTTAAACATAAGTTAACCATAAGTCTTCGTAATGATCCCAAGTAGTGGTGGGCGGCGAAAGTGAGTGAGACGGAAATGACACTAGGGCTCACTAAAACCCTGGAATTATGTAGGCTTATCGAAGATATCAAGGAGGAAGACGATGACTATTGTAACCATCACCGAAATGAATGGCACTATATCAACGTCTCAGAGGAGACGACTAGAACTCAGGGCGGAGCACTATGAAGCATAGTTCAGCTGACCTACTGCAACGCTTTAGTTACCTAGCATCCTATCCGAAGGTGAATAGGACGTAAATGTTGGTCTTTCAAGTGTCCTCGATTCTGGAGAGGCTCTTTAGAACCTGAAACGATCCAGAGCAGCTGGACCTAACTGCTTGCCACCCGAAGTTTTTAAAGATGTAGGTAGGAAATTACTGGGTAGAGTTATGGAGGTACCTAAGTAGTGTATAGGAATGCGAAGTAGTGCTGTCAAACTAGTTTACTGTGCTGATCATTCCAGAAGATAGGGAGGGGGGAGTTTTCTTGTGACAACCATTTAGGAATCAGTTTAACTAATATTGTGTGCAAGATCGTAGCGTTCATAGTTATCAGACACCTGGCTGGAGCTGAAAAATAGAAAACTCGAGAAAACCAGTTAAGTTTCAAACCTGGATGGTGGTGTATTGATCAGGTCAATACATTTCGACAGGTTCTGAAACAAAGGGGGATACCTACCGGCAGCCGATACGCCATATTTCTTGACCTGAAGGCGACGTTCAGCTCTGTCGATCATGAGTTGTTTTGGTAATGTCTGATTGTGAAGAGTACCCAGTAAGGATCGAACGCTAATTGAAGCTCTATTCCAACCCACGCAGCCGTGTAAGGGCTTATGAAGAGTTGCCACCAGAATTGACGACAACTAGTGGCGCCCGCTTGGGATACTCCCTTTCACTGTTCCTGCTGAACTTCGTTGTAGATGTACTAATGGGCATAACTTTAGGTGTATCTGAATTTGATCTACTCCCTGGTTGACTTGATATACACAGATGACATTGTCCTGCTAGGTGAAGACGCTGGTGAAGTACAAGGTCTTCTGAATGCTTTGAGCACATATTTGTGTATGTTTGACACGCGTTTCTCACATATCACATGTAATATGATGCTTCAGGACTGGTCTGTAACTACTCCCGGTCTAAGAATGGGGTAGTGAAGTGGATGGATTCGTCGACCACTTCAATTACTAGAGGATTTGCATCAGCCTGAATGTGCTGGTTGCTGGCTAAATTTCAGCTGGAATACAAAAGGCGAATTTGGTATTTGCCGAATTGAGTCACTTCTGGTAGCGGTGAGATATCTGCCTTTCTGTCCTGTGGTATATCTTTGAAACATGACTGTGGAAATTAAAAGGTATGAAGAGATTATAAGTTTTAGAACACAGGTGTCTTTGTAGTATTTCTCGTTTATTATGGAATCAGTAGGTGAGGGGTTTCGAGGTTAGACAAAGGGCACTAGAAAAGTCAGGCAAGTGATTCGATGAAGTTGTGAAGCTTCACTAAATGGGGTGGCTTAAACATGTGTTGTGCATGTTGAGCCACTTCCTAGCTGGTCCTACAATCTTAACGGAAGTTGTATCGGTTTAGAAGAAGGCTCAGGGTGACCGTTGCATGAAGCCTCTGACTGTTGGTCTGAGGCATGTAGAGCGATGTTGACTGCCTGGCTAGAGTCATCAAGATAACAAGAATCAATAGTTGCAGACTCTTGGTAACACGACTTAAAATTGGTCACAATGGGTTTAGATGTATTTATTCACTCTTTGACTTCTTCATAGCCTTTATTTTCAAATTGCTTCTCCTCCCATACACTTTTGTCTACTTTGATATAACTCTTATTCTATCCACCTGTCTTTGTATTCTTCTTTGAAGTGTGACAGCTTGAACTGACTCTCTTTTGTTCTATACTCCACGATGATTTTGTGTCTGTCTGTCTATAAATGTCAACGCTTTTGTTTTTAGGAGAGAGACGTGCTTCTGAAGCATGGTGATGATATGATATTTTGTAATGTTTGTTTACTTCGTCTGATTACCCGTATACAAATATTACTGACTACATGTTGTAACATGTTTAGTAACAAATCTCCACTTTAATTGAATTATTATTACTATTATTCAATTTGTTGTTTGTGTGAATTGATCGATTTTGAAGGCAGTTTTTACTATGGATCGATATATGATAAGGAACCGATGGGAACTTGGAAGCACTGATTAGTAGTTTTGTTTTGGATTAGGACTCATGAAGATTGTAAACCCACGACCCCACGAAGGATCGGGTATAGGGTAACCTAGCCTTTTGGTTCATATTTCCCTACTTCTATCAATTCACGATATGGTGCAGCCATCATCCAAATGCTGTTATCGACTAACCTTCCTCACACTTGACTTGACCGACTCCACAGGTCACAGTTTCTCGCTATAACTTTGGGAAATCTATCTCAAAGCAAGTCATTGCTGCGCACTGGAGAGCAATTTAATGAGTTGTTTCTGGGGATCGGTTGATTTCTGTGTAGTTATCATCACACAGTGACATTGGTTACCTGTTCCTTAAGCGCTGTTTGGTGGTTGAATATGTTGGCGAATGCAATTTACCTTAGTGACGTTCCGCATCATTGTTCTGAAATTGCATCTCATCATAGAATCACAAGAATGCTAGAGGAGTAAATAGAGTTTTGCCAGTAGAATATCATAGATGGAAGCTTGTAACTATAATCCAAATGATTTGTCCTTCTCCCGCGTATGCTTTGTTCTACTAACTGTGATTATCTCAAAGCTTTCATTACTAATTGTTTGATTCTTCCCTTTTATTTTGTGGAATTTGGATCAGGGATAAACTGACCTGTTTAGACGCCGAATGTGTTGAACAGCAAGCAGGTACTCTTCTGATCTGCCATCTAGTCCAATTCCTTGTTGAATCTTCAGTTAGCAGTCACTCCAACAGTCTCAGAAAAATTCGAATATTCGGAAAGAAAGAAGAAAGAAATGAAAACTTGTCGACATGGAGACGTTTCATTATCTTAGTGAACGACAGGGGTTTTGACCTCTAAAATTGCAAACAGCAACACATCAACAGTTAGGTAAATCAGTAAGAAAATAGCCTTGAAAACTGTGGAAATAAAGGACCTACTAGTTGCGGCGTAGGGAAAAGTGCGATAACAATAGATTCAAATTTATGCAAATATAAAATAGGTTTGTTAAGGTAATAATATCGCTTCCTGACAGGTATGTGCTTGTCCGTCCTTCGCTTATGAATGAAGCCGTAAGTAACTAGTTTGGACGTCTTTCAACCAAGTTGACTGTGAGTTCCAACCAGTACTTCAGGTACTTGGTCTCTACATAGAAGTGTCATCCGTGTTCGAGCATATGAGTTTATGCATATTTGCGAAGTTGCATATTTATATATGCATGGGAACGTGACCGAATACAATTATATGTATATTGACACAGGATTTAGCATTACTGCGTAACGATCCAAGTTGCCACTACATCAGCACATCCAGAAACAATGCTTTACGATGATGGACTGCGAAATTGAGCGGGAAGGCTTAGTCAGAAGTCGTAGAAAGTTCTAGGACGATAGGAATTACTGGCATGACATTAACGAAATGTAATATGGTTGAAGATAATGTTTACAGACGTCTGGGCTGTTGCAGTCGGTCTTCGGTTATATATCACCTATATTTTCCAACCACTGGTTTCGCTTGTAACACGGACCCCCAACACGATGGTCTACAGTTTCCTACACGGTTCAAACGAACAGTCAGAAACTTTATCGAAAAAGAGATAGGCAAAATCAAAGTAGAACGTAGCACACAAGTCCATCCGTTCAAGTTGTCACACTTCTCAGTAGCATACTAAAAACAAGTGGACGAAAAATAACTGATACCAAAGCAGAAAAAGTTATGTGAGAGAATAAACCATTTGAAGGTAGGCTTAGGTGCGAGTATTCAACCTTGAGAAGGTGTCAAGAAGTGAATACATCTGTGCCACTGTGACCGATTAACAACCATTTCACCAAGAGTTCTCAACCACTGATTCCTATCATCTCGGGGACCTCAATCAGGCACTTCACATTACCCAACATAGTTTATACTAACAGTCATGGACTTCATCAACTGGTGCCATATTTTGGTCTAGTCACCGTGAACCCTCTTTCAACCTAATCCAACTTTCCGAAGCATTACACGTTGAAGTGGGTGGTGGCTGGACATGGACAGTACATGTCGAACGTGTCTCACTCCGATGGGTTCACAACCTGATCAACCGACTTGTCTCTCTTCCCTACTACTCTTCAACTGACCTCAACATTTATTTACTGCATGAAAGCGAGTAGGGGTTATTGAGTGCATTTCGGTCTTTTAACCTTTGATATGTTCATGTTATAGGGCAGGAATCACGGCTATTTTGTTCGGATTAGTGATACTATTTTGTGACTCAAACGTCAGTAGTTAGAATGAGGTTCGAACCTGTAAACCGATTGTTTGAAATCCAACTGCCTAGACCATCTGGTCACAACTACGTGTTGTAGTCTGATCATGTTTGGCATTTTTCTAGCCTAAATCCACTACAGCTAACAGTATGCATTGGATAGACGGTGACTATACAATTTTTTCGCATATTCTAACCACTTGTATCAGTCATTGTTTGCAAATTAATCAACTGATATACCTATTTTGCCTAGAACTCTACGCCCAACTTTTACTTCACTGACATGGCGGTTTCATGACATATTTCTCGGTATAAATTTAATTATAAAAACATTTACGTTCGAATTTGTTTCCTCTTGTTGTAATTGTGAGATTCCACTACGGTTAAAAATTTCGCTTTTGGTCACAGCGCATGCTCATTACTCAGCTGTCACTGACTAGTTCGAAACCATCCGTGATCCAGGTTTCCATCTCAATGCCTATTCTTTTTGTCTTAGTGTACTGCATACTATTGTTCACCATTTATGTAACCTAGTTAGTATAATTACACTATACTTTTTCAATTTTCGCACTGTATCTGTAGCCTCGAACGTTAGGCGAAATTTTGGGCATCAATTAGAGACATCTTCACGGTTTCAATACAATGAACCACAATCGTCTGTCTTTCCATTTAGTGAATTCAAGGTGAGTTTCTTTTTCTCTCTGCCTATCTTGGATCTTTTGTATTTATAGTGCTGATCCGGCTTACTTTTTCTTACCCACTGATTACTGGCGTATATTCGGTGGATATCAGTGGGAAGCAATAAAACTGGCTGACAGTTTACAGATTTACTATTTAAACTGGCAAAGATATATGTAGAGTCTGTTGGATATATGTTGCGTATACGCGTATGCTTAGCAATTGTCCTGTACATGAACTGTGAACAAAGCAAGATCGTCAGTTCTACGGAGTTCAGGGGGAATACATTCATATAAGTGTACAGTCGTCTTGAAACTAGATAAATGTCATAGTGAAATCGCCAGATGGGCCGACACGAAGTGACAGTCATCAGTGGTAACGGAGGGAAATAAAACCTATCTGTAAGTATACATTAATTGTGAAAATTAAGATTTTCGAGACCGGTTTTGATGATGTAATAAGGAACTGACACCACTGTAGCATAATATCTCAAATCATTTTACTTTGGCATCAGTGGACCACATCAGTTGACTATCAACTGTATATGAAGCCTCACCAAATTTATTGCAAGTATCCAGCGTATTCATCTACGTATTTTTAGTTACAGGAATGAAACACTTGAAATTTTTATTTGTTAAGATCACCTTGGTTAATATACATAATGTTGTTTCCCTTCCACTGCTCTCGATAATAAGCCACAGGAATTCCACCCATTCAGTAGACTTCAGGACCATTATTTGGTCTTACAACACAATAATCTGAGCATTGGCTAAATGGTGTGAATACGGGAAATGTATTTGTAAAATCCCGCTATGGTTGAGAAAATAGTTTCTTATGTTCTGCAACCTCATGGAAGCCCCTGTCTCAGAGAATAAAACTTATACAAGTTTATCGCATGTTTAAATAGTAAATGGCGACAAATCACATCATGTTGTTCATACATGCACATAAAAATGATAAAATGGGGATCTAAAGAGAAATAAGAATCAACTCAGTAAACCTGAGCAGATTTGTACATTAGACAGTGACCCACACCAGTTGTATGAAAGGGCCGGCGACCAGAACCCCAGGTTGGTGGAGAGGGGGTCGAACCCGCAACGTATTGGTTAAAGGTCAAGTGCCTAAATTAATGGGCCACGAGAAATGAGTGATATCGTTATCAATTCGTGAGTTTGAGGTGAGAATGCGAATGGGTGTGAATGTATGAGAAAAGCCCGACTGATAGCTGCTACCTTGACGTGGTAGTCGGGCTTGTATATCACAATAACCCAACGAACTATGCTGGTGGAACGCTTGTTCCCTCGAGGTCCTACCATACCAGAAAGGCCTGTTGGATAGTGGTAAGACAAAAAACAGTTACCGTTGTGGTGTAAATTACTACACTATGATAGGGGTCTGAGGGAGAAGTCGTACTGCTGCTAGCTGGATGGGGTGTGACAGCAGTAAGGTGTTTCCCTCGGATGACCAGCAGTGCCATGTTGATGCTGCCTTCTCAGTTGAAGGGGGGCAGGTTAGAGAAGGTCGGCCCCAAAAATAACACACTCCACCATGCTCCACGGTCTGCCGGGCAGGCGGTGTTCGTTCATTTGTCGTTTAATTTCGACCTTCCGGCCCCAAGAAAAATACAAAACTTCGAAATAATCATACTCAAATGGCAACATGTGACAGGCCTCAAACAGATGTCCGATGGGCTCTGCAGTCACACAAATCTCTTTCAGGCACCTCAAGAAGAATTAGTCTTCCACGGCGTGGGCTGTCGGAAGTGTCAACCGCCTTCACAACTCGATCAGCACTCAAGTTTCTTCAGACTGCTATCCACCTCCCCCATCATTACCTTCTAATCTTCCTTCACGTCTCTCAATCAAAGATACTTTAATTTCTCCTAGCTCTGCAGCCTTCGACAACAATCTGAGTCCACAAAACAGCATCCCTGGTCTCCTTAAATCACGCTCAAAATTAAATATTGGAGCCTTCAAATTGGTCAACAGGCCTCGTTGGCAAAGACTCTAGCAACTCGGACCATGGATGTGTACTGTGTTTGTGAGACACACATACAGGACCCAAGAGCGGTTATTCACCTGACCTCTACCGGTCAATCTGATGAATCCGCAAAATTCACCCTTCGAGTTTCTGAACATTCGATAGCTAGCTCTTGGGGTCTTGCAGGTGTAGCCATAGCATTAAGCACTAGGGCAGAAAACTCACTACTAGACTGGATCCCACTTGATAGTCGCCTCTGTGTTATCCGACTGAATGGAACAGTGAGAACTAAAAGGAATGGTGAGACTTATCGTTGTCTCTTTGTAATCTCTGTTTTTAAGCACCCACTGACTGAAGTTCAGATGAAGTGAAGGACGAGTTCTACCGTAAACTGTCTAGCCTCTTCTCGAAAGCCAAACGTTCGGATGTAGTGGTTGTTGCAGGTGACATCAATGCACAGGTGGGTAGACTGAGTGAGGCAGAAAGGCACTTAGGTGGCACTTTCGGAATCCCAGATGAACGTACAGATAACGGTGATCACCTACTACATCTATGGTCAGATAACCGCCTATTTTTAGCTAGCACAAATTTCAGACATAAAGAAAGACACAGTCTGACTTGGCATCCCCCAACCTCACTCAACGATGGACACAGATAGACCACATTGCTATTAGTCATCGCTGGAGAGGGTCGGTGGAAGACTGCCTCTCCTTCTGGAGTACGTGTTTGGACAGCGACCACGTGTTGGTCCGAGTGCGTATATGCCTGTGTCTCAATGGACGTAGGAAATATTTGACAACGAAACCACCAAAGCCGTCAGGTGTAGTTTTAGGCAGGAGAGGTAAATCAGTTGACACGCTTGTGAACCTTCATTGACTGAGATGGTTGGAACACGTATTACGTATGCCTAGTCACTGATTGCCTCACCACACAATGTTGACTGAAGTACTTCCAAACTGGAATACGACCCGAGGTGGTCAGACTAAAACATGGCACCAATGCATGAAGTCTTTGACTGTTGGTTTTGGAGCCATATGGGGCGATGCAGACTGGGTGGTTGGGGTCGGCGGGCGGGACAAGAGGAACCAGTGGTTGGAGACTGTAGGTGATCACATGGCTCAGAACCGATGTCAGTGGCGCAGATGTATACACACATTATCCTCATCTTAACGATGCTATACCAAATCTCACCATTTTCTCATCCTTCCTTTCTGACTTTTCGTACTTTGTGTTTGTTTTGACTGAATTTTCTTATCTTCATCTTGCACCTCACTGCCTTTTTACTTGATGTACTGATTGATATGAGCTGTGGCAACTCGGACCGTTACTCAGTAATGCCTAGTCTTATATTTATTTGGATAGATGGATAGATGTATGCTATTTGGTTATGATTTGTACGTACTACGTGTTATTTCGGATACACCGTCTATGTTTGTTGCGGTTAGACGTTTTCAACCACAGGTTTCTTCGAAGCATTACCCACGTCTTGGTGAGGGCACTGTGTGAACGGTGTTGAGGTCAGTTGAAGAGTGGTAGGGAAGAGAGACAAGTCGGTTGATCAGGTTGTGAACCCATCGGAGTGAGACACGTTCGACATGTACTGTCCATGTCCAGCCACCACCCACTTCAACGTGTAATGCTTCGGAAAGTTGGATTAGGTTGAAAGAGGGTTCACGGTGACTAGACCAAAATATGGCACCAGTTGATGAAGTCCATGACTGTTAGTATAAACTATGTTGGGTGATGTGAAGTGCCTGATTGAGGTCCCCGAGATGATAGGAATCAGTGGTTGAGAACTCTTGGTGAAATGGTTGTTAATCGGTCACAGTGGCACAGATGTATTCACTTCTTGACACCTTCTCAAGGTTGAATACTCGCACCTAAGCCTACCTTCAAATGGTTTATTCTCTCACATAACTTTTTCTGCTTTGGTATCAGTTATTTTTCGTCCACTTGTTTTTAGTATGCTACTGAGAAGTGTGACAACTTGAACGGATGGACTTGTGTGCTACGTTCTACTTTGATTTTATGTGTCTGCCCATTCTAGTTGGATAGTTAGGCCTTGCCTTCTGTTGATATTTGGCATCTTTCCATTTCACCTTGACTTTTAGAGATCTTTTTTGAAGATGCTGGATAATTTTGATGCCAATTTCTTGATTTGTAAGTATGGCATGAAGAATATGTACTGATATGATTTTTAAATTTTTAGTCTTACGTGGTAGATTTTGTGAAGGAACTTGTTGTTGTACACGTTTCCGATAACTAAAAAAGCTAAACAATCTGAATTTCTCACTCATATCACCCTCCTTCACACGTGTACACGTGATCGCATGTGCACTGCACGTTTACATTGAACTTACCTATAAGTAACTGATAACGATAACATTTATTCCTGAAGTGAAGGTGTAAAATAATAAGTATTATACAAACACTAGTATTGCTATTAGACACTTGTAATAGCGTCAGTTCTCCCTCTGTATGTTATACTTCACTGATGTACGAAAATGTCGGAAGACTAAGACTGACCTATGATTTTAAGATCGAAGATTGTTGTTGTTGGATGTGATTTTTCTAACACTGGAATGAGAAACTCTTACTGCCTATACCGGAAGACAGTAGACCATGTAGGAGTGTGTTTATTAAGGGACCGACCTTCTCCAATCAGCCTTCTCGTAGGGAAGGCAGCACCAACATGCCACTGCCAGTCATCCAATGGCAGTACCTTACTTCTGTCGCACCTCACCAAACCAGCAGTATTACTTAGACCTCAGACCTCCATCTTAGTGTAGTAATTTACACTAAAACGGTTAGTGTAACTGGTATACTAGGACCTCCAATGTAGCACATTGGGCTATTGTGATATACAAGCCCGACCACCACGTCAGAGTAGAAGCTATTGGTTTAGACAGTTGATTCTCAACCAATGGGTAGCGGATTCGAACCCTCATAGAACACTTGTGGCTCATTGCCTTCTACACAAAAGTGGGCAGGGTTGCTGAGTTAGTTTCATCGGTATTCAGTAAAATGTTATCAACATTGTCTTATTAGTGTTCAGTTGTGGCCTGAATAACCTAATGCCAAAATTAATTCTCTGGTTGTGTCACTGAGTGACATCAAGCGAATACCAGTTTCCTCTTAGCTGCAGATAAGTCTTGCTGATGTGTGAAACCTAGGCTGACAAGGCGTCCTGCTGATCAACTCTCATCACGTAATACATTTTCTACAGATTTAAACTTTTATCCAGATAGTATTTCTTGCCTCATTAACCTATTCTTAGGCTTCCAAAGTTTTGTAATAGAAGAACAGTGGTGGGATGGTGACTTAAAAGTTTGTGATGAGCTTTATTGTTATGTAGAAGTACAAAAAAAGTATCTAATATCTTCATTTTAAGCAGGATATTAGTGTAGTATAGGGATTCAAGGTTTCTTTTTATAATACGAAGGTTATCTGTGACTAGATGGTGATGTTGTGATTCTTTCGCCAAGTCATGTTAAATGGAGGATGGTGTATTTAAGTGTTTATAATATGACGATGAAATTGTTTTCTATTACATTATATCTCAGATACTGGAGGTTTTTCTCGAATTGCTCATCCATCAGCTAGTCGATTAATCAATTCTAAACATTTCTCCATTTGATATTAATGATGGCTATTGGCTAGCAGTGGGATCCATGACGCACGTTTCGTCCTATTTGGGACTGCGTTGCACTAGAAGTGGCTATTGGGACTCAGTGGTCTAGTGAATAACGCCCTATTGTTTGAAGCGATTCGTCCTGGGTCCGAGTCCTAGTTAAAACAACATCACTCATTGGGGGGCAGATAAATCCTCTATGGAACGAAAACCCCATCCTGGATTCCACTGCTAGTCAATAACCATCGTTAAATGCTAAGCTGAAAATGTTGATAGTATTGCAGCATCCACACAGGAGCCTATATACCAACAATGGCCGATCATTTCGCTCAATTCAACGATGAGAAATTACAAGCTATAACATCTAAAGTAATTCCTCCATCCACCGTAATTTGTAGGTATCATAATCCACACTTTTCTAACTCATTTCATGATGTCGTATAATGCTAATTTGTTTACTTTGTTGTCGGCTTATTGTAAATCTGCACATTTTTCTTCACAGTTTCCTGCCCAAACTGAAGGTGAAAATTTAAACTCAAAAGTGTAAGTATGAAGAGTTTCTTTTTTAAAGTTTAAATTCATTTTCATGTTACTGCCTTTCAACTTTTCCAAGGATGTCAACAATATAATGAAAGGTTTTAAATGTATTCTATAGTGTTGAGTGTAAGGCAATAGAGAGTTGAAATGGTTCATGCTTCTGTCCATTCTGGTTATTTATGAAACCTAGTGACTACATGCCTGTGCTTATCTTGTATAATAATTTAGCGTCGAACAAAATCCACCGCAGTATGAGATCATATGATCAACTTAATAATATTTCTATGGCTCGTTAGATTGAGCAGATAACTTTTAGCCAATAAGTTATACTTTCAACTCGTGTTTCACCTATCAAAGCATAAACAGTTGTGTAGTGCCGTTAGCTTTGGTATACCAGCTGTGGTTCATAGCCTTGCTCTTTCAAATGTGTTAGTAGTTGCTGAATTGTGTATAGCAAATTCTATCAGCCAACTTTATTCAGCTCTGAGAATCAGCTCATTATTCCTGTATTCCATTATAGTTGAGAATTACAAATCAACAACTCAATATTGTATATACTGCATATACAAAAGGCAAGGTAGTTTATGGATAAAACTGTTTCAGTGAAGGTATCCTTTCTCGATAGTCTTCTGTAAAACCATCGTGTACTGTGTAAGATGAGCACCGTGTTGATGGAGTTAAAAAGACAAGTTTGTTTTTTTGCTACTCGTTTTTTCCTTCTTGATTCCTCATCTATGCGCGAAGGGAGATTGCACACACGCACACATTCGCTGAGCAAGGCACCGGTGTAAAATGTCATACACAAGTGGATTGGCTTCAAGTAGGTGCACATCAGAACAGTATGGAGAACAAAGATCAATAAAAGCTGAAATACATTGAAGTGAACGTCGTGTAGCGTACCCTATAAGCTGAACTACAAATTCTATGGCTATTTAAACCTTCGTAGTTTCATTGCAACTGTGACACTGTTATTCATTGTTTGGAAGTTGAGTGTTTGAGATAGCAAACTTTAGCTTCAAGTTAAAAATAACAAATCAGTGGGGGATATATTGGGTAGCAAAATGTTTTGGATTTTGATAGAGGTAGGTAATAGTAGCTACCATTACTTTCATCAGAAAAACACGCCATCTGGTATCAGATGTTAGAATAAATGTTTCGGTGTGCATGAGCCATTCTAAACATTTGAAAAAAGATGTTACTTGAGACAAAAGAAATTACGATTCCAATGAACTCATTTTCATACTTGCACATTTGTGGAGAACCTCGCCTAGTTTACTAATTCACTGCTTGAACACTACGGTATTAGTGCCACAAACCATTATCAACCTCATTCAATGGCAGCTATATGCTATATGATGCTACATGCCAAGTAATTCACAGTGGAAAGCTCAGTGATGCCTTTGAAGTGGAGACAGGAGTAGGAAAACGCTGCCTACCATCACCGATTATCTCCCTGATTTTGGCGAACTGGACCAGACTGCATCATGCAACAAACTGTGAGGAGAGAGAAGATAGGCATAGGCTGACTGGACTGATGAAAAGACCCCAGAAGAGGATTTGGATTTCACCGATGATGATTTATGTCTAATGTCGGACAAACTCGAAGATCTACAGGCAAAAACCAACAAGTTGATAGAAGAGGCAGTGCAGCGAAGACAAGACTTCCTTCAGGTGAACGCAGAGAAGACAGAGGTGATAAAAATACCCAACCAACAACAACATCAACAAACACCAATCACTATGAACGGGAGAAATCTGAAGGAAGTAGCCTCTCCCACCTAGCTGCCTAGACAGCATCTACTCAACTGTTGGTGGCTCACACATGGGGACGTCAAAGCCAGGATCGGAAACTCAGCAAGACAGGCCTTCATTAACCTGAAACCAGTGTGGAGATTTGCTCCACTCGACTCAGCATAAAGAACAAGATCCGGATTTCCAACACTAATGTCAGTTGAGTAAGTCAATGCTTCTGTGATGGTTGAGAGACGTGGTGAGTTACAAAAGGCATTTCCAACAAACTACAGACATACATCAACAACTGCCACCTACGCTCATTCGATACTGAGAATGGAGATCAGATGGTCAGGATAATGAGAATAGGCAATCAGGAACTCTGGTTTGGCAGTGAACCAACCAAGAACCCATCACCCAACAAATATGCCGAAGAAAGTGGAAATGGACTGTATTGGATATTCACTGGTAAGACTGGCTGGGGACATCACGCGTCAGGCCAGGCCCTTGAATGGAAGCCAAAGGAGAAACGACGGTTTGGGCATCCGAGGGTGATATGGAGGAGGTGGTGTGAGGAAGAAATGAAAGCTTGTGGGTAGTGGTGGAACCAGGTTGAAAAGACTGTAGGGAACAGAGTGCAATGGTGACGTGCTAGTGAAGTTCTATGTTCTGCGGGAACCCAAGGGGCAAACAATAATAATAATAATAACAATAATAATACATTTTTGGAGATACAGATGGGGAAGGATAGTGTTCCAGAGGAATTTCCTTCCATTTACTAAAGTGTACTAGGGTTGATAACGCTTCAAATGTGCACATACTAACTTCAAATTGATATCTTGCCCGCCAAAAAGATAGATTCTACACCCACTCATACTCTACTTGTGAAAATAATTTCTAACCTTTATTTTATCCTAGACAAAACCATTTATTAGCTGACCGTATGCATTCCGTAATACTCCTTTTAGTTTTCGTGTATTCGTGGCTGAGTTGACTTTCTCAGGTTCGAACACCGCTCGACCTACTGAGCTCTAGACAGGCAAGTAGTATCTCATTAACCTTCAATGCCTAGTGCACGATTGTGCATAAGGTTGCTGAGTAGGTTTTGTTCGTTTCAGTCTTCGATTCTAGATTATCCGCCATATTACGTAATATTCTCACGTAAGCCTACTTATAGTTTTGATCCCTCAAATAGGAATTTTCACTGAAATATCGTTTTCAAGTGTGCTGCATACTTGTGAAAATAAATTTTTGGAATGAAAATCTAGTGTTATCTACCATTGTCTTCTCGCCCTCTCATTTTTTCCCATGTAAAATCAAAATAACATATTTCTTTGCTTTTTCTCCAAATGCAGTAGGTTGAGATGATATAACTCAATGGAAGTATTTTATCTTAGTTGTTTTAGTACTTGTAATTTACCATTACTATACAGGGCTGAATCGCTCGACCTCTGCTGGCAGATGGGCTCCTATGCAGATGCCTTGATACTGCCGGATATTCATAATGTTATCTTGGTGATTAGTGTTGGAATCCAGGACGTATGTTTCTTTCTATTTGACATTCGCCAGCTGGATGTACCTGCACCCCAGTGAGTGATGTTCCCACTGAGACTGGAACCCAGTACCGATTGCTTCAAACGCCAAAGCGTTATCCCTGTATAGCAACGGTAAGTTACAAGTTTCAAAACGACATCTGATGCTTGTTGCATAAGAGGTGGTTGTTGTGCTCCAGTGGCCAAGTGGATAACTTTTTGACATTTGAAGCAGTGGATGGGAGTCTCAGTGGGGACAACACCATTCACTGGAGTGGAGGTACATCCACTTGACAAGTCTTAAATTAGACGAAACGAGCATTACCAGGATAAACATTTTATCGTAGATTGACATCATCATCAGATCCTTTGAAAGTTAGGGGAGTATGCTAGCCACCGTTCCAATTCCTAGTGTGCAACTCCCTAGCACTGGATGCCTACATCTACCATACATTGCAAACATGCCATCGTATACAACCACTTACTGGTGTTTACTAAGTTCAGTCTACTTGGTTATATCATTGGTGGACGCATCTATACTTATCCTTGACCTTTAGTTGACACTGCATTTTTCACAGCTTATTGTAGATTCAACAAATCCATTTGGTAGAAAAAACTCACTGATGAGGATTTAATTTCAAGGTAATGTTCATCATAGACTGATATATTATTTTCAAAACTACTGAAAACCTGGTAGCACTGAATAGTCGTTTGATCCTGGTAGGAAACTCCACAGTAATGTGAACCCACAACCCCGCCAGGGATCGAACTCAGAACCATCAGATCTCGTAGCGAACAAGTTATCATTCAGCACTGAATTTGTATTCGGTTGAATAGTTCGTGGGAGGTCGATTAAAATAGCCTATTAAAGAATGATTGAAACACAAAAAGTAGTCAACATCTGCTCTCTATCCTGAGATTTTTTCAAGCCTATGGACAGTTAATAGGTTAGTCAGTCAACCATTCAATAGCACTGTTAAGGAGTGTGAAACTTGCAAAAAACAACTACCCTCTTGCCTGAGGTTTCTAATGCTTATCCATCTAGTGTCCATCTATGATGAGAACCACTTTGAAATCGATAAGTCCCTACAAGCTGTCAGTTCAATTTTCACATATCTTCTACTTTTTAACCTTCAGCTCTAATCCGGATGAGGAGTCACCAGGAGACAGTACTGTAGATCGTGAAGTGGTTATCTTTCGTCGGTCAGATAATGTGCTTTCTGGAAAAGGTGAGTGGGATTTGTGGTGTGTATGCACAGTATCAGGTATTTTGTTACGAAAAACACCTTTCCTTTTTCTCAAAGCTTTCAAATGGGTCAGAAATGACAATAAATCTAGAATGTGTGTATGCATAATAAAGTTTCTGAAAATACAATTGTATTTGCTATACTCTTACCAGATTTCAGTGTTTCCTGGCTCCCCTCCCGCTGCCACTGAGGTCATTTGAAAACTTTTCGAATCTACAATGCTTCACCAACTGTCACCATGAATGACTCATCTATGAGATCATTCAGTAGCAACCTATAGAACTTCCCCTCGATTGTGCCTTGTTAACTGCTGGGTTGGAAAATTGGGATTAGTATCCCAATATTTAATTTCCTTTTTTTATTGTTTGTCTAGTTGGCTAGTGATATCAAGAAAATTATTCTATAATACTCTGAGCAGATTACTTCAGGACTAGTCTCTATTAACTCCTAGTTTAAACATATAGAGTAAGCGGTGGGATGAGTTGACTGCCTCTTACCTACTTGTTGAGTTTAGTCAACTCGAATGCATTGGTTGTTGACGAGATTTCCAGCTTGGTTTTTTTAAAAGAACCGTAAGGCAAGGAATATAATTCAGTTGATTTGGTTATAAACACACACTGACTGATGTGAGTAGGACACATCTTGCGCGCGGTAGGCGCCATCTGTTTTCATGTATAATACTAACCGAAATAGGATTCGTTTGTGAGAAGGCTAAGCGTGGTATCAGTTTATGAAGTTTTTGACTATTAATGTGATCGGTGTAGACTGTCTGTGTATGGTCCTCGAGACTATAGGAATCAATGGTTGAATACTTTGTGATATTACTGAAAGTCGATCATATTGGCACAGATGTATACAATTTTTGTTATTTTCGAAGTTGTGAGTGTTGTTGTCATCAAATTTCGTCGATTTATTCTCTCTCTCTCCTCTCGCACACTTGTTTAATTTAATGTCATTCATTTTCTATTCACTTTTTCGTTGTATTCTACTGTGAATTGTGGCAACTGGAATTGATACATATTTATATCAGGTTCTCCGTTGATCTGTCTATCTGTTTGTCTGTTTGTCTTAGCTTATCATGCTTCTCAGCTTGATAAAGAATATAACATTAGTGGCCTATTGTTTCCTTGGATGGCTTAAATTATTAAGGAGATAATTCTACGGTGCATTTATCTTTACCATTGAGATGGCTATATTTGTGGGGACATGCACTATGAATCTATTGGTCGTCATTCATCTTAGTGAGTTTGGTGAAGGAAAATTTGGTATACTTACTTGATAAACGTGTAACCATTTTGAGTGTTGATCAGCTCTCCCTCGTCCTATAATCTGCATTTTTTTTACTTGTCACAATGAAATTAATCGAGACAATAGCCTCATAGTGGCTTGAAACGCTTATTATCAACAAATTTTATTCCTAAGAAAGGTAGAAAGACAGATAAAATCAACGTAGAACCTCGCACACAAGTGCATCGGTTCAAGTTACCACACTTCACAATAGCATCCAAGGAACAAGTTGATAGGAAAAGAGTGATATCAAAGTAGACAAAATTGTGTGAGAGAATAAACCATTTGAAGATGCGAGTATTCAAGCTTGAGAAGACGTCAAGGAGTGGATATATCTGCGCGACGGCCACCGATTTTCAGCTATGTTATCAAGAGTTCTCAACCACTGGTTCCTATTGTCTTGGGGACCCCAACCAGGCAATCTGCATCTCATACCAACAGTCATGGACTTCATCAACTGGTGCCACATCTTGGTCTGGTCACCATGAAACGTCTTCCAATCTGATCTAGCTTTCTCAAGCTTTGGAGGTTAAGGTAGACTACGGTACGGCATGAGCAGTACATGTCCAAGCCACCTCAGTCGACCCTATTAATCAACTTACCTGTCTTGTTTAGTACTCTTCGCCTGACTTCAATGCTGCTCACACATTGATTCCACCAAACGCGAGCAATGCTACGAATGCAATTATAATCAAAACCCTATAGTCGCTTCATATCTCTACTTTCAACCGCCATGTCTCACAGTCGTATTACAGGACAAAATCAATACGGGCACTGTTTACTTGTCTTTTGATAGGTGGTTAGATATCTCGCTAGTGGGTGCCATAGGTGACGCAATTTGGTAAGTACCAAACTGGCCTGCTATATCCCAGCTGAGATCTCGTCACTAACCAGCCCATTTGAGCCGTTGCAACTCTCTAATTAAGCGAAGTAATCGAAAGACAGCTAGGTGAGAATCGATCGACTCCTTGAAACTGATCATCTGATATTCATTGGTTGTCATTTAGTGACCGAGAACTTTTTTTAGTCAACCATTTTTTCATGTGTTCTCTTAGACTTTATCAGATTTTTCAAGGTCAGTCGTTGTTGCTGCAAGATAGCATCTGTTATAATCAGTGACAGTCGTAGAGATAGCAGTGAGACATAAATAGGTAATAAACAGTGGGTTGACTATTGAAGTAAAAACGGCAAACCTGAGCACCAGTATGATTCAAACCAGCAACTTTCGGTTATCCGTCACGCACTATACTGATTAAGCTGCGAAATCCAACTGCTTGCCAGGTTTCATGTTCATCTCAGTCACAGGGGTTTTTTCCCAGCCGTCAGGTGAATGTACGATATGTTACTGTTTGTTCATCACACAAGCTTTGCGTTGCGAAGTCTTCTCGCTACAATCCCAATAAAACTGAGTTAGACTAGAGAAGCAAATGATTAATTATTGATGAGACTATCTTAGATATCCTTAATCTGGTTATGCAACTGTTAATTATGCTATCTAAATAAACACTGTTGAAATGCCGAGACAGATTTCGCCACAGACTGGATGCTGAGAAATTACAGATCACTGAGAATTTATATTATTCCTTAGCATTCATTTTGTAGCTTAAATCGCTTGTAGGGTTGATTTGGAGATATCACAATTCCATCACTGCCATGTACTCAATCAGTATCTATCAAGTAGTCATTGCGTAGAGGTCATATTCATGTACTTCTAATCAAAAGGTTATGAAATTTGGGGACACTCAAGGTGTGTAACACTAATTGACTGAATATTTCAAATAGCTAACACCACCACGTCCAACTTACTGAAATGTTATTAACTTTATTGTGAAACTTGATTTTTCTCAATTCCCATGGAGACTATTTTAGAACTGACCACTCCAGAGTAATCCCACATTACTATTGTCCAGTTCTTCATGATTCTTTTCAATTGACTTGATTGCTTTGTATATGACTTGTCTTCCGAAGTGTTAGTATTACTATTGAAGTTGATCACGCGCTCATAAAGTTATCAAATGACTGACTTTGATTTTCCTTTCTTTTTGTTCTGATGTTTAATGAATCTAGATGTCACTGAAGATTTACCGGATGAATTTTTTGAGCATACTGAAGAGGATGTTCGTAGGTTGTTACGCTCATACCACAATGAATGGTAAGTTGGAAAAACGCTATCCGATAAAGGTTACCATTAAAAATTATTATGCATTATACGCATATTCTGATGGGAACATACTTTGCAATCCTGTGTACGTAGAAGAGGAAGGGAAGTTTGTAAACTAGGATTACGGGAGTGGTATCTGAACACTGAATGACTACTTTTCTTATTCGTGGGTAGGTTCATAAGTTTGTCAGTTCTAGCGCGTTATTTCAGGCACTTGACTTTCAACCAATGAATCACAGAATTGAAACTCATTTCAGCTATCGAGGTTTTATCATCAGTCAGGTAGTATCAACATTCCAAATACACACACAGACATGAATGATTTCATAGTGAGGTAAGTAATGCAGATTTCAAGTTGGTTATTCATCACGGACTGACATCACTTCGAAGAACCATTGAAAACCTGAGAACACTGGACAGCTGTTGCGTCTTAGTGTGCGGCTCAGTAACGAGCACGCATAACCCAGCCAGGAATCAAACCCAAGGACTTCAGTTTTCGCAGTGAGTACGCTACCATTAAGTCATTGGGTCGGAATCTGAGGGTGCACATTTTCTTACTTTTGTATAGTGCAACCTTCATCCAATGTCGTCGTTGAACATTTCTCCTCACATCCAACTTTGGGAACTATTGAATTTTGACCCAGTGGTTCAGTAGTGACACGCCTGCCGCGAAACGCGAAAGTCCTGGGTTCGATCTCTGACGGGGTCATGGGTGTTCACTGCTTAGAATTTTAATACTAGAACGCAGTAGCTGTCTAGTGCTCTTAGTTTCTCAATGGTTCTCCAACTGATAAAGTCTGTGATGAATACCAACTTGAATTTATAAACCGCCACAAACCTCTAAATTGGGATAATGTCTGGATTTAGCTGAGGAATTTCGGATAGTTAAAGGATATGAATTTGATCAGTTGAGTGTTCTGTATTGCAGTCAGTTGACCGTAAATTTGTCAGCTTTCCAAAGTGTGTATGTTGATTCGAATCTTTTGGAAATTTGAAGTTTTTCATCCCTTAAATTTAAGTTGCCGACTAGTCTGCACCGATAATCTATTTCACAATAGATAGAGTGAATTGGCGTTGTACGTTGGTTCGCTGATCATTAGTTGCTGTAGTTAGTCGTTCCACGTCCATTCACAGCTAAAGAACACAAACCTGGAGACATTAGAAAGATTTCAGATCTGACTGGAGGTGCACCTGTAAAAGCTTTGCCTGCCCGTTAGATTCTGCAGCACACATACTTATCTGTTTTTGAGGCTCTTGGCGTGTTTATGTGTTTGTGTAACCACTGTCTATTGTGTATACGTTTACGAGATATAGATCTTCGACGGTGAGTATGAATATTAGAGATGCTACTTTCTAGTGTTTCAAACCGCGAAGTCAGTGCAGCCAACTATATTCCCAAAACAGGTGATGTTGACAGAACTACTAGAGATGGTTTGCGGTGATGGGGTGGTTAAATTGCAAGCAAATAGACTATCTAGGTACACTTCTAACATATGTGCCACATCGGGCAGATCCTCTAACTTAATGATTCTCAAAGGTATGCTCAGAATTTGATGTACGCTATAGAATAGTCTTTGTAGTCACATTTGTTTCAAAACCACTTCGTCCAACTTGTGTATACTTACTAGGTGTCTCATATATCTGGAGAGTTGTGAAAGCTTTTTGTCACCGATGTCACAAGTGGTTAGGAGTTACCGCAAAGACGTTTTTCATCTCACCCTGGCCTCCGTCGTATTCCTGCCGATTTGAGCTTTTCATACGGATACGACGTCTACCACAGTACTGACGTCAGTAGCAACTTCTGTGGATAAACTGGGCAACAAAATAGTCATGTTTAGAGATGTCTGGGAACCTACGTTGTAGGTCATGAACAAGGCCTTGACTTTAGCAGATGAAATACTCTCTGTCTCATCTAAGTTTACTGATGTCTAATTTGGAGATTACGCACATACACGCACACACACACACCAACAGGTGTAGAGAGCTAATGAGTAGTCCTAATTAGCCAGTTGAATATTAGACTCATCATTAAATTTTTGTTGGACCAAAAAGGATGTTTAATAAAGTAGAGTATCAGAAATGGTTATAAATACATAAATTATATGTTATATTAAAATACTAATGGAACAAAACTTACGAAAATGATTGGTTATTTATAAGTTGTAATTTAGTCCGAAATACGTCAACTTCCAGTGAACTTCAATATACGGATAGGAGGCAGTTTACAGTTATTACTCCGTGTGTATGGCGTAAACTGACTTGATTGACATAAATTTGAAGTTAAGATGAACTTTATTTTAAGACTCCAAAACAGAAGAATAGCATAAGTGAGTAACCAGAGACATTATATTTCAACGCTAACGATAATGCTGGTTGTATACGTAGGAAAATGAGTGGTACAGAGATGAGCAAACTTTGACTTTACACTACAGTTCGACTCTATGAGCTTAATTTGTCCAGACGCACCACTGATAAGCTTCACCCCTAAACGAGCGAAACGACCATCCGGTGTTTAGATCAATCTTCTGATGTGGCTGCCTGGCTAAATGTATATATCACCTTGAGTGGTTTCTAACTACTCAAAATCGGGAAATAGAGTAAAGGAATAATATTTGCGTTTAGAGATTCCTAGAAATCTTCACATACTTGAAAGTTTCCATATTCAACTGACAGTTTGAGTGAATTTGTTTCAAGGTAGCATTCATCATGAATTGGAAGTCTGGGAGCCCTGGATAGCTGTTTAATCGTAATATAAGACTCAGTGGTTGAATGGTAACGTGCTCTCCATGAGACCTGACGGTTAAGAGTATGTCCCCTCATCAGACCATTGGTGCCCACTGATAAATAGTTCTATACTAGGGTAAAACAGCTGTCTACTGCTCCCAGGTTTTCAATGATTCTCCCAACGGATATCAATCTATGATGGTCTGAGCGAAGTAGTTAGGTACAAACTACCTGGTTGGGGTCCACGAGATGATAAGAATTAATTGTTTCAGGCTTACGGTGACAGGGCTGAAAATCGGCCAAAATATTGCAGATATATTCACCTCTTGACGTCTTCTAAAGCTTGAATATTTTCATTAGCCTTCATCTTCAAATTCCTTCTCTTACCATACTCTTGTCTCATATGGAATTGGTCTTTTTCTTTGGAGGCTACTGTAAAGTATGTCAACTTGAGTCGATGCACTTTTGTGCAAGGTTCTACGGTGATTTCGCCTGCCTGCCTGCCTGTCAATCTGTAATGAATATTACCTTGAAGTTTCCATTTATCTCGATGTCAAGGTAATATTTGACTTATTTGATCGATTAATCTTATGGTAGTGTCTGGTCGTGAATGGAGTACTGAAAAAGTTACAATCGATCATTTAATACTGTGAAACAAGCATTATCCTTCACAAGTTTATGTAAAGTTGTCGTTTAAGGGGACAACAGATAGTGATGTTTATCAAAAATTTCCACTCTCATCATACCTTAACCTTGCTGTAGATGTCTTATTGAAACGGATTCTCCAGCTGATAACAGTCCATGATCAAATTAATAAAACCTCACAAACCTCCAAACTGAAATTGATTCAGTTTACCATCAACCTATTACTTGGAAACCTATGGTTGGTCGGGAGTGTACGCATCCACCAAATGTATTGTTTTTCAATTAATACTGGGTGACGATTGAAGATGAAGTGAAAATTTGGACCGCAGCCGGATTCGAACCAGCGGACACCAGGTTTCCGACCTCGTGCTCTCTCTATCAACTGAGCTACGTGAACCGACTACTGACCAGATTTTTATTTCATTTCAATTACCAAGGGTTTAGTCCTACTACCTTGTGAATTCTTGGTGCATTACTACCGCTTGATCATATTCACACTGGCTGCCTAGGCAGGACTTCTCATCAACATCCAAACCTAAATGAATTAAAGAGGAGAAGCATCATATTGATCATCATTTTGACTATCTGAGTGAGATAACCGTCGTTTGCTAAACTAGTATTAATACTGGGCGATAATTGAAGGTGAAATGAAAATTTGGACTGGCGGGGGATTTGACCCAGCGACCACCGAGTTCCCGACCTGATGTTCTCCGACTGAGCTACGAGGTCCAACTACTGACTAGATTTTTATTTCACCTCACATTTTAAGTCGAAATCTTGGCATTTTTTATTATGATTCTATGTAGATGCATTCCATGCTTTTCTTGAAACAGATGAACTTTTTCTTTTAAAGGATCGTGCACTATTGTCTATTTGGGAATTTCGTAAACTCTAACCGTAAACATAACCAATCGCATTGTAAAGAAATCCGTTTTATAATTTATTTAATAGGGCAAGTTCTGAACCGCTTCAAACCGCAGCTATGCGTTCTGAAGCTCATCGAAAATACTATACCAGATATTCAAGAGCTGTTATACAATTTCATTGGATTGACAGTATTATTGTTCAAGCGTGTTTCTCTCCAAGTGACAAAGGTTAGTTAGTTGTTGAAATAGCTTTTGCATTTTCTTCTCTTGTTTCTTATGCTTGTATCCTTTATTGGTGTTGTCTTCGGATGTAAGTAAACGTAAAAGGAAGATGAGGTGTATTTCAGTGTTGAACAATATGTCTATTATGAGTAGACCGAAGCTACTATATGATGATTGAGGGATTTTAAGCTATGCAATCAGTCGTAGAAGAGGATGAAGTGTTCTAGATCAAATAGTCATAGTTCTTTTTGATAACACTTGGTAACAGAGATAGAAATTGCAGTGGTTAAATGTGTTGCAGTCTGTGCTTGAAATCACGTTTTAATACTAACTATAACCGGATGCATCAGAATCAGCAGCAAAGACCTTCGCAAGGGAGGTAGTATTTATGGAATAGTCGTTTTTCAGTCTTCATAAAATGAAGACATCTAATTAGTCATTTTAGTTGTTGCTCAGTTGTCCATTGGAGTTGCACTTAAGTTCATTAAAGCAGCTTGAATCAGTTAGTTTTAATTTTGAGTTGAAACAAGTCCTTGTGTTGGATACTGGTCCCCCTTTGAATGTTGGAACGGTGAATTTTGTTCATTCAGTGAATCACTATGATTATTTTTAAAGGTCATCCTAGCAAATATTCAAGTGATTAATTTAGTTTCAATGGACTGACATCAGTTGAAGAACCATTCAAAAAACCTGTATTTCTTTGTTTTACGAAAGAGCTCTCTTTCCAATAGAAACAAAGAATCCTTATTGGTTATTTTATTGGTTCCTAGAGTATTCTTCAGAATCATGTAGTCACTCTAACTCACAGTGGTTATCAGAAGAAGGTCTATGAAGGTGAGGTTGTTGTCAGTCTAAAAACTCTGCTACCGTTGTAACAGCAACAAACTGGCATGCCTAGTTTCACATGATTGGTGCTAATAGTCATAAATAGTACACTACACGACTATGACTTTCTGTGCGCCTCACTGTCTGATTGTTGCTTATTCTTTAAATCATACTTATAAGTCACTGACTGAATTCAACTCAAAACGAGCTATTCTAACTACCTTCACAGAGCTGTATATTGCACAATTATGTTTAGCGCATCTGTACATTCAGACAGACAAAATCAACAGAGAACATGATGTTACTGTGAAATGGTTCAAATCGCCACACCTGAAATCAGCACAGGAATGAAGCATCAAGAAATAAATAAGGCAGTCAAGAGTGATAGAAATTCATCAAAAGAGGTCAAGGGAGAATGAGAGAATACTGAAATTCACTGAGATGATTAAAAGCATCTGCGTCACTGAGACCGATTCCTAGCCATATTCTGTCGAGTATCGAACCACTGTTTTATGTTGTCCAGTGGATCTGACCCAAGGAAATTAACTTTTCCTTTTAGTTCTGGGATCAACAGTCATAACTTTTATGCAGTAATGCCGTGTTTTATTCTGCCTACCTCTAGTCTTTCTCCAACCCAAACCTACTTCAGTTAACAATGTGCGATGCGATAGACAGGCAGTGATTGGGTATGCGTAACCCATGTCCCAGTCACCTGAGTCGATGAAGGTCTACAACTTCATGAATTGACTTTTTTATCCCCTCTGCAACTACGTCTGGCTCCCCTATCACTGACGCAGTGACACTATGACATGGCCTACTCTGCGAAGGCTACCATAGTCGAACATCCTTCACCCTTAAATGATCATGTTTCACAGCTATATAGTCGTACCGAGGGAACTGTGGTGCAGTGCACTCGGTTTTTTATAGGCAATGGGATATCACGGTGGCGTTTGCAGATGGGGTAAGTTGGCCGAAGCCAGTCACTCCTATATCCGTCACTGACCCATCAAAGCTGATCTGACGTCTCCAGTTAAGTGGCGTTCAACAGGACAGTATTATTTGTGTACTCTAGATTTATCAAGGATTCTCCTTGAACAAGATCAATTCCTGTAAAGTCAGTCAACGAGAGGGAGACATACATAAATACGTCTGTGATACAGTTGAATAAGAATGGAGAGAGTGGACATCCTTGATGGACAACACTGGATGCATACAGCTCACCTAATAACTAGCTTTATGCTGTGACACGCATTCGGGTGTTCAAGTACAGAGCCTTCAACAAAGTGACTTACTTGATGGACATCCGTATCAATGAGAGACCACTATAAGACCTCCTGATCAATGGAGTCGAATGCCACCTTCAGGTAAGTATACCTGGGGTAGGATGAATATCTTGTTGATGCGCTCACGGCCAGGTCTGAAGCATGTCTGGCCTTCTCAGGTTTGTTGTTCACGAGCTCCACTTAAACGTCTGTAGTATTATAGACACTATACTCATCAGGTTCATTCAATCTTCTCGTGTACACTTTTGTCCACTTTCTCATCCATTTTCTATCCTCATATTTTTGTTTTGTTACTGTGAACTGTGCCAATTTCTAATCTGATTATCATTGTTTACATACTTTTTATATGCATAATTGTCACCTACGTTTATTAAATGTTATCACTCTATAACTTGTTGCATACGCAGTATCAGAACTATATGGCTTCCTTCGTGGTCTTCATCGCAATGCTAAGTATAATTTCCAATTGTGTAAGTCGCTTTCATCACATTGATGCATCATGTTATAATGTGTGTGTGTGTGTGTGTTTATGTATGCGAACACATTGAGAATCATTCTTATCCGATAGGGACTAACTGTTATTGTTTCAAGTTTTCTCTTTCGATGGTTTTGTGCGTAAATGAACCTTTGTAGCTTAGTAACTAGTGAATAAGGATACTTTGTCTGTCGGATACTTTTTTGTTGTTGTTATCAAGACTGTTTTTTATTTTAAAAACTTAAGCATGACAGAGAAAAACCACTGGCATAAACTATATTTTGTCGTTTCGTAATAACAATGATGGGTTGTCGTCTAACCTTTAGGTATTTTGTTGCAGTGAGTTGAATAGAAAAGTTGGCATACTTTTGATTGGAACTACTTCAAAGGGTGTAATTTAACGTTGTGTATTTGGTGAAAAGGATTTTCAATACTAATTTCAAGTCAGTGCTTTATATGGTTCCGAGACTTGGCACGTCATGAAAAGCATTTCCAACGAACTACAGATATACATCGACAGCTGCTGCTGCCACCTACGCCCACTCGACACTGACACTGAAGATCAGATGGCCACAATAGTAAGAATAAACAACAAGGAACTCTGGCTGACTGGCAGGCAACGAACCAACCTAGAACCCATCGCCCAACAAATATGCAGTAGAAGAAAGTGGAGATGGATTGTATTGGACATTCACTGAGACAACCGTTGGAAAACATCAGCCCCCAGGCCGACCATTCCCTCGAGTGGAACCCAAGTGGGAAACAACAAGTCGAGCATCCGAGGGTGACATAGTGGAGATGGTGTGAGGAAGAAATGAAAGCTTGTGGACAGTGGTGGAGCCAGGTTGGGAAGACTGCAGAGAAGAGAGTGAAATGGCGACGTGCTAGTGAAGTCCTGTACTCCACTAGGAACCCAAGAGACAAATAAATAAATAAAATAATTCGGTGAAAAATTTTTTAGAGCACAAGTATAAAGCAGACCATCCAATTGACTCTAGATTGCTGTTTAACCATCAGAATATCGTTATAAGAAATAGATGCTTATAGGAAGGCATGCTTCTCCGGTTTCCTGTTCGCTTGCATTTTGTCGATGTAACTCGGGATATCAGTGCTTTCTCAAGGTTTCAAGTTCTATTTTTGAGTATGAAAATGCTTCGTTCACTCCTTTCTATCTATTTTCGATGGCCTATATGTTATATGAATGTTTTATCTTGCTTATATTAACATTGCTGTATCGTGGTTTTGTCAGTTAAGGTCATCAAATCGATATGGGCTCAACATTTTGATACTTTCTAATAAACAGACTGAAATGGAATTATAATCTACCACAGTGCCCAAGTTTTAGTCCTATATTTGATACTTCCTGTCTCGGTATCTTCAGATGTTGATTATCTCCAAACTGTGTATCCTACTATGAAGTGTCTGTGCGCTTGTGTGGGATATTCTACGTTGACTTTATCTGCATGCCTGTCTGTCTATCTGTCTACCTCCCTTGAACTCTTGGCTCATATGAGAAAACAGAACAAAATGTGTATACACTTCTTGTATAATGAGATGAGCTGTCATTTGTCTATAAAAGTATCATCAAAATAGCCTAACTATGCTGCTGACAAACAAACAGTCAAAGGTAATATAAAGATTAGAAGGTAATCAATAAATGCAAAATTGCGACTCTATGCATTGTGTACTACTCCTCCGTCATGCAGTAATGTTGAATTACTACGTGATTACAGAAGAGCGACTACCAAATCCCTAATAAGTAATTGTAGTCATTTCTCTCTTTCGGTCCTTTTGCAGATGAAGACTGTGAAAGCACTTCTGAGTTATCCTCTAGCAAGTATCACTTCATAGCCATATCACGATTATCTCAGGTAGTCAAAATGATGATGAACATGATGCTTCCCCTCTCTAATTTAAGCAGATTTGGAATGGGATGAGAAGTCCTGATTGAACAGCCAGTTTGATTATGACCAAGCGGTAGTAATTCACCACGAATTCACATGGTCTTCATCATTATCATCAACATAGGACCAGGCATTATTGCGTAGCAGTGCGAGTTGTCACGCCTCATATCAATCAGTACATCAAGTAAAAAGGCAGTGAGGTGCAAGATGAAGATAAGAAAATTCAGTCAAAACAAACACAAAGTACGAAAAGTCAGAAAGGAAGGATGAGAAAATGGTGAGATTTGGTATAGCATCGTTAAGATGAGGATAATTTGTGTATACATCTGCGCCACTGACATCGGTTCTCAGCCATGTGATCACCTACAGTCTCCAACCACTGGTTCCTCTTGTCCGCCCGCCGACCCCAACCACCCAGTCTGCATCGCCCCATATGGCTCCAAAACCAACAGTCAAAGACTTCAGGCATTGGTGCCATGTTTTAGTCTGACCACCTCGGGTCGTATTCCAGTTTGGAAGTACTTCAGTCAACATTGTGCGGTGAGGCAATCAGTGACTAGGCATACGTAATACGCGTTCCAACCATCTCAGTCAATGAAGGTTCACAAGCGTGTCAACTGATTTACCTCTCCTGCCTGAAACTCTACACCTGACGGCGTATACTATGAAGGCAAAGGTGGTCAAACACCTGAAGCCAGCCTTCTCATGTCTTCCAACTTCAATAGCCATGTTTCCCAGCCATACACCAGAATAGAGTGGACTGATGTGCAGGTGCAGTACACGCGACCCCTTATAAACAATCCGATATCATGGCGGCATCACAGGTGGCGTAAGTTGGCGAAAGCCAACTGAGCCAGCCACCAGGGCTGATGTCACTTCTCAGGTAAGTGAACTGGTCAACACGCTCAACCATTTCACCCTCTATTGTTAGCCGGGGTATCATCGAAGACCAATCGTGGAGTAACAATTTGCATTTAGGTGGTGAGAAACGCGACCCAAACATTCTCAAATAGCCACTCAAGGTGTCCAGAAGACTCTGTATCTTGTCAGTGTCTTCACCTAACAGGACTATGTCATCTGCATATTCTAGGCCTAACAAAAATTCTCGTGCGATTAGATCAACCTCTGTGTAGTCAGGTGACCAGAGAAGCCTCCATAAGAATATCTGTGATAAAACTGAATAGGAATAGAGAGAGTGCGCACCGTTCACGGACACCACTCGACGGGTGCAGATCCCCGAACATCTCACCATAGGCTCTTATGACCCACATGGTAGTCGGGCAAAACCCTTAGTGATTGAATTGAAATAAAAAATCTGGTCAGCAGTCGAGTCTCTTAACTTATTTGGTAGAGCACAAAGCCTGAAACTTGGTGATCGCTGGTTAGAATCCTGCTACGGCTCAAATTTTTATTTCAGCTTCAGTCATCACCAAGCATCAATACTGGTCCTCCAAATCACGGCCATCTCAATCTGGTATTCAAAATGATAATGAATATCACTTAACTCTGTTTATTATGCTTTCGATTAATTCTAGTCCATTCAGTACATACACTCAACTCCGTTTCCTGCTCCTGCTTTCATATCTTACCTCTACTTTCCTTTAAACTTATTGCTTTCACTATACGGCGAAAATTGAAAAGTTGTTCATGTGCATGTACGCGAATGTCACCGATTTGATTCATATTAGTTAACGCTCTCACTCAACTTTCATTGGCTGGTGGATAACGCTTTGACGTTTGAAGCTATCGGTCCTATGTTCGAGTCTTGATGGGGGAAACTTCCGTCACTAGGAGATAGGCATATCTAGCTGATGTGTCGTAAATGGGACTAGACGTGCGCATCCTAAATTTCACTGCTACCCGCTGTCCATCATTATTATAAATTTTCAAAATGTTTTGAACTCAACCAAACTAGCGAAGTTATTCATAATATTATGTAGAGTGTAATAATCGAAGAATGTAAGATACTATCAGGTGGAATATCACTGTAAGTATAAACATTGCTTGCTGTATGCTGGTGAGTGACCTGAGAGGAATTGAAATGCGACTCAGCATCCATATCCACATACATGTAGTACATAATGAGCCATACAGTAATGTGTGAAGGTTAATGATAAATGCCATGTGTTTACCCTCAATTCGTAAGACGGAACGGAATTTGAACCTATGATTCACTGGTTGAATGCTCAGTGCTTAGGTTGATTAGCTACAAAAATCATCAGTGAATGATGTAAGTAATTGCAGTTTATTCATAAAAGTCAGCATCACCTACTGAAGAGATCCATTACCAATCCACCGAAGTAGCTGGTAATCAATCTTTTGAACCGTTTGTCTGGTTTGCTCGTGTGCGTATTAAAATCCATCCAGGTAGGTCTTTTATTAACATGATGGAATTGGGACCACTTAGTGAGATTTCTAGATTCTTTTTTTTCGTATCTTCCAGGTAATTTTTGAGCATCAAAGTATCATTGAGTACGAGTAATTCTGCTTATTGTCTTTTTCTGTCTTTTGAATTTCTAATTTTAGTACTGTTGTTTTTCTTGTGTTTAGATACAACGCCGCCTAAACTTTTCCTCTCTGATAAGAATATTACATTGGTTGAAGTAAGATTGCCATACTTAATTAATTTTCTTCCCTTTTTCTTTCAAAAATTCACAATTCTGAGCTAAAAGAATGTAGAAATTACGTGTTAACTATGCTGTACAGGGCCATATACATGGAGTTGTTCTTTATGTCGGCAGATTACTAATATGGTCACCATTCAATGCTCTTTAGTTTTTGATCCTCGGCATAGATTATCATCCCAGTTTTACACCTAGTTACGAAGTTGGATAAGTTTGACTGTATTGAGAATTAATTGGTTGTAGGTAGTTGTTGTCTCTCACCAAGTTAGAAGCACATAACTGCATCATCAAGGAAACTGTTGCTTCATTCCAATTTAAACAGCTGGATAAGACAGACAGGCAACATAGAACCTTGTACACAAGTGTATAGGTTCAAGTTGTCGCACTTCACAATGAAACGAATAAGCGAGTAAAAAAGACTGACATCAAAATAGACAAAAGTGTATAAGAGCAAATTTAGAGATTAAGGTTTGTCAAAACGTTTACGATTTGAAAGTTGTCAAGGAGTGAAAACATCTGCGCCACTGCTACAGATTTTCATCCGTGTCACCGAATGTTTTCAAATACTGATTCTTATAGTTTCTGATACCCCAGCCAAGGAGTCTACATCTTCCCACACATCTCAGGACAACAATCAGAGACTTTATCGACTGATGCCACGTCTTAGTATGGCCACCGTGAACCCTCTTCCAACCTGATCCAACTTCTCCAAGCACGACAAATCGAGGTAGGGGGTGGCTGGACATGCACAGTACGTGTCTAAGTCATCTCAGTTGACTAAGGCTCAGAACTTCTCATCAATCGTCTCTCCTATCTTGCCTAGTACCCTTCACCTGATCTCAGCATTTCTGACACAGTGATCCCACCAAACGTGAACAATACCACGAATACACCTGTGATCAAAACCGTGTAATCGCTTCAGATCTACTTTCAACGGTCATGTCTCACACCCGTACAACAAGACAGAATGGAATACAGCGCAGAATACCACACTGGTCCTGTGATAAATAGTGGCATATCTTGCCAGTCGGCGCTACGGATTACGCAAGTTCGCAAATGGGCCAAACAACTCAAACATCAAGTTTTCCACTATACAGTGTGAGTGATTAGAAGCCACTCAGATTTCGCTAACCAGATCCGAATGATCTAACCATTGCACGGCCGTTTGCTTGTTTGAGACTGGGCTCATTAGTGATGCACTTGAAAGAATTCTGCTCACAGGGCCTAATCGTTTGAATCAACCGAATCTGGCTGGGTGGCTGGCTTTGATGTTTGTTGAAGAACTACTCAACTGTGAGAAATGTCAAGGTGGACCATCCAGTTTGTGAGTCATTTTGAAACCGATCATCTTCATTTGGTTTGCCGGTCCTTTGAAGTCAAATATCTAGCTTCAGTTAGCTAGGAAAAATGTTGATACCTTAGAAGACGTCAAAGAGACTATACGCCTACGTCATTGCGACCATGTTACTAAGAGTCTTTGATTATTGATTCCTATCGGCAGGCAGTCTATGCCTTCTTACATGGAACAGATCAACAGTCAGAAACTTCATGGGCTGGTATCACGTTTAGTTCTGGCTCTTTTTATCCTTCTTACAACCTAGTTCTGCTTCGAATAACATCACATGGTTGCTTGGTAAGCAAAACACGTTTACAAGCCATCTCGGCGAAGGTTCACAACATCATCGACAGACGTTTTTCGTTATCTAGCTCCCTCCGTGCCTTACCTCGATATTGCTCATATGGTGATTCCACCACACACGAGCATTGTTATGAAGATGCCTGTAGTCAAAAGCCCGTAACCTCTTTATATCTTCTAGTCTCAGAGATCATATCTTAGAGCTACATAACGAAACAGGACAGTGACTGACTGACTAGAATACTTTTCCGTCGATAGGCAGTCGGATATCGCTTTCGTAACATAGTCAGCATAAGTTGACAAACGCTAAGCGAACTTTTTGTATTCAAGCTGAGATTTCTTCAGCAACCAACCCATTCTGGCTGATGGGAATCGCCAAGTAAGTGAATTGGTGAGTATATTCTCCCATTTTACTTCATATTCTTAATTTGAAGCTAGCGCAGACCAGTCCCGAAACGTCATCTTACATTTGACAGTTGTAAAATGTATGCCAAAAATATTCAGATTCCTGAATAGAGAAAGAGATGGATCGATTTCTTCTTTTTGCAGGAAGTTTTCAGCAGTTTGTGCTGATTTTCATATTTTTGGTACTTGATGAGGTTAAGGGTTGTGGCAAGACGAATAAATCGTGGCAAAGGTGAATAGTTATTGATATCTTCATGAATATTTGAAGCTTAAAGGAACGAAATCTCATGAAATGCTAACCAGCCAGAAGTCGGTTTCAACTTGGAATTGTCGTCGCTACTCCAACGGTTAGTAGCATTAAGTGATTTCATGGATGTTGAAAGGATGGCTGCTATTTCCAACCATGGCACACACCTATATAACCTCTTGAGGTGTTATTCTCGAATACTGTTAAAAATCTTAGCGAAAACACAAGCATGCATATCAGCGTCTTTCGAAGCATGTAGACTGTAGACAAGAATGTGGTATATGAAGTGACCTTCTGACGTGCTTGAAAATCTAAACCTTTCACTATACCAATGTTTTTCATCCTTTTATCACACAATTGTCTTACAAGATTGAGACCCTGATATCTAATGCGCAATGGTGATGATTGTTTATCAAACACCTCTGACCGTTTCATCTAATGAATAATCCATTGGATTCTTTGGAAGTATATGAAATTGATGAGTTGATCGTTTTTACTATACCGTGACTTCACAAAAGAATATATACTTCTGATGCATTATCAAGCATTTCTAGGTCACCGTGGAATAAATCTTGGTTTCTTTTGAGCCTGGATCGTGTCCCAGCTGAAATTTGAACAGCTGATGAGTCCCAACTAGGACGAAACGCTCGTCCTGCATTCCACCATGAGTCACCAAGATGAATAAAAGAACGTCATTCTTTTTAGACCACTGTTCAAATTTTGTTGTTCAAATTTTGTATTGAAGAAGTAATGGGATCCGTATAAAATATTTTTGGCTGTACGGATGTGATGCTTGTTGAACGGTACACAGCGTTTCAGTAAGCACTCCACTGTTTCTGAGAATTGTTCATGTTCAACTCCTCTTATATGTCTCTCAATCAAAGATTGGATTTATTGACAAGAGGCACTTACCATGAGTTCATCCTGTTACTCTTAACCAAAGGCCTTTAGATTTGCCTCTTGATGGTCGGTCTCTCTACCCCTTGAATGTAGAAGAAAGTGGTTATGAGATCGAAGGTTCACTGTGAAGTTAACTGTATACAAAACTCAACAGTATTCATATGTTTACAATGACCATGTTTATTTCCTCACCTTTCTCCAATCTTTGATTTCATCGATTTGTGCAGTCAAATATTTGCATATCCAATCATATGATTTCTGGAAACTTCTAGTTATATCTGTCTCTGGACAGTATTACTGGCGATCTAGTCTTAACTTGAGTTTGGGTTTCCTGTTGGGTTCGATAATCAACAGACTAAGGAGAATGTTCAACACTGGTTCCAACCACTGTTATTCTCCGAGGTACTATCTACGAGTTGACCCTCTACAGCCACTAACGTCACACCAATCGATTCTCAGAAATAGGACTAAGTTAGACGGTTAGCCCACACAATACACAATCATATTGTATATAACATGATATATTGAAAATGTACAAAGTTTTTACAGCGTAGGCGGCTTAATCAAAATACCGAAGAATCAGAATAAGGATAGGTCCTGTGAAAGATATTCGTAATTGATTGGTTGTCGTTATCATTCTCTTTGACTAGAGACAGAATCGACAGGTTTGAATATGTTCTTGAATTAATAGGTGGAAAACCCTGAGTTCCATTGAATCTAAACCAATAGATCCAGTGGATTTTAAAACTTAGGCTTATAATTTAGTTGTTGATGAGTTGTTGGTTATTTTGAGTTCTACAACTCATACTTTCTATCATAATCCTTTAGTAAGGTAGTTTTCTTGCATAATATTTTCTGCTTTGTCTTTTCATCTATTCTTTCTCTTGTTTTCTAGGCGAATTTAGTACCGTTATCAAAAGTATTTTATGATCCTATTGAAACACGAGCTGAAGATGGTAAGTTGTGCAATATTCTTTTTATATACATATATTTTATACATTTTTTGAGTTTTCTTCCTTCACAAACGATAATGATAGTCTTTAAATGTTCTTGTAGTTGCTAGCAGATACAAGTGATATATAGGATTTTTGAAAATTAAATCGCCTACTTCTCTTGCTGATGAATTCCAAACTGGGTCGAAACAGTCATACAGTATGCCCTGAATTCTAATATTCTCTAATTTATGTTTGTCATATGGTACAGTTGAAACTTAAGCGTAAAGGGTAGTCTCTGTACGATTGACAGGAACCTGATCAATTTTGAGCTATTTCATTGAAGGCTTTTAATTTCATGTATAGTATTATCTTCTAAGCCTACACTATGAGCGTACCTACATGAGCTTGTATCGTACAGGAAAATGGTTAGAAACCTGAAGACTTTGTATCGTATATTTACCGCATCGTTGACATTTGATTCTGTCCCAAGACCTCTGTCACTGGACAAGCTAACCGGGACAAATACTGAGTCCTAGATAATCAGCTAGCTGTATTCTTATTTCTCCGATAGGAAACAATATACTGTTCACTGAAGGAAGCACTCCACCTCATTGCTTACTGTGACTGGAATTCTCCAAGGAGCCATACTTTCCCCATGTCTTTTCTCATTCTTTCTGTATAACCAACCATCTTTAGCTGGTATCAATTTCATTATATATGCTGATGACCTGACAGTTCCCATACCTATCTCCTCTTCAGCAGATTGTTCCCAACTGAATGATTTTTTATGTACTGTTAAACGACGGTCCTCCGTGAATAGTCTTATGCTTAGTTCTTCAAGATATCACACCATAAACTTCAGTTTCAGGCGTGAACATAACTTACGTACACTGCTTAGTTCTCATGATTCCTATCCTATTGATAGTTGCGCACTAGAGAATGTTACAGGTGTGATTTATCTCGCCGTGTGCGTTTTTCTTCCAACCTTTCTTGATGCTCCCATATCTCACTAATTTCCAAAAGAATTTTCCGCCTAACTTTCTATATTAGGAAGCTGAGAGTATCTGGTATTATCGGCCTCTCATTTTATGTTTTATAAACTCCTGCATCTTTCCTGTCCTCCTCTATTGCTCCCTTTATTTTTTCCTGGTTGCTGAAAAAGATTATGCTATGTTGCGTACAACTTTGGATGTTGTCAGCAGTACTAGTGGTATACCTTTAAACTTTCCGATTGAAACTGTTTTGGACAAACATCTTAACTCATGTAAACATCTGGCAGTAGTTATTTTATCAGATGATCAACATTCTCTTCACTCAAAGTTCTCTGGATATTGGTCATCTGGAGAGACAAGGAGCAAGTGCATATAAGACTTTATGCACGTACTACAAAATATAAAAACTCTACGATACCGTTTTTAACTCATCTGCTATGTGATGAAGAAAGTATTAGAAGTGAAGTAACTGACCAACTTCTGTTTTTGAAAGCAAACTAACTGAAGATGAAAAGAAACGACAAGTTAACTAACACCGCCGGCCCGGCAGACCGTGGGGTATGGTGGAGTGTGTTATTTTTGGGGCCGACCTTCTCTAACCTGCCCCCCTCCAACTGAGAAGACAGCATCAACATGGCACTGCTGGTCATCCGAGGGAAACACCTTACTGCTGTCACACCCCATCCAGCTGGCAGCAGTACGACTTCGCCCTCAGACCCCCATCGTAGTGTAGCAATTTACACTATGGGAATGTCTGTCACTGAAAGGCGTGCCTAGTAAGTACATCACCTTATTGAAAGCTCTCTACTCGAACACTTGTGGGCATGTTAGAGCCTATGGCGAGTTGTCCAGGGAGCTATACTCATCAAGTGGTGTCCGTCAAGGATGCCCACTATCTCCATTCTTATTTAATTTTATCATAGATATTCTCTCGTCACCTAATTACACAGACGTTGATCCAATCATAGGTGAATTTTTTTTAGATCTAGAATATGCAGATGACATAGTCCTGTTAGGTGAAGACGCTGACAAGACTTAGATTCTTCTGAACACTTTGAGTGGGAATTTGAGAATGTTTGGGATGCGATTTTCACCACCCAAATGCAAATTTTTGCTCCAGGACTGGTCTTCAGCGGTACCGCGGTTAACAATAGAGAGTGAAGTGGTTGAGTGTGTTGACCACTTCACTTACCTGGGAAGTAGGATCAACCCTGGTGGGTTAGTTGCCGATGAGATCTCTGCACGGATACAAAAGGCTCGATTGGCTTTTGCCAATTTGCGCCACCTATAGCGCCGCCGTGATATTCGTTTGTGTATTAAGGGTCGCGTGTACTGCACAGCAGTCAGGTCTGCTGTATTGTATGACTGTGAAACACGGTCATTGAAAGTGGAGGACATGAGAAGACTTCAGGTATTTGACCACCGTTGCCTTCGTAGTATAGGACGTATTCCGTGGTGTCACCACATGAGTAATGCAGAAGTCAGGTGTAGAGTTTTAGGGAGAAAAGTTAAGTCAGTTGACGAAGTTATGAACTTCATCGACTGAGATGGTTGGGACACGTACTACGTATGCTAGTCACCGATTGCCTCATCACATAATGTCGGCTGAAGTGGGTCCAGGCTGGAAAAAGGCTCGAGGTGGTCAGACTAAAACATGGCACCAATGTATGAAGTCTCTGACTGTTGGTTTAAGCCATGTAGGACGATGCAGACTAGGTGGTTGGAGACCCTAGGTGATCACATGACTCAGAACCGAAGTCAGTGGCGCAGATGTATACACACATTATCCTCATCTTAACAACGCTATACCGAATCTCACCATTTTGTCACTCCTCTTTCCTTTCTTCTCGTACTTCATATTTCTTTTGACTGCATTCACTCATCTTCATCTTGCACCTCACTACCTTTCTACTTGATGAACTGACGTGAGGTGTGGCAACTCGGACCGTTACGCAGTAATGCCTGGTCCTATGTTGATAATGATTAATTGAACTGAAGATGAGCGTGTTACATTTTATGTATTATGAATCTAATTGCCAATGTGATTGTCTACCTAAATTGACTATACATTTTGAAGAAAGTTGTAGGTAAAACGAATATTTTTATCTTTTCTTCATGTAATTTCTGCTTATTTCATTTTGTTATGTATACATTTACACTGTTTATCCAACTGATGCTACATGACATGCTGAGAATTCTCTAAAGTATTCTCGAAATAGCTTTCAAAATAAAGTTATTATTATTATTATTAAACTTTCTTTGTCCACTTGTTGCATAGTTGATTAGGTGTATACAATATACGCACCAGCTCGATAAGTCTATGCGATAAATAATCTCATCAAAACTCGACGTCCAGCCTTTAAAGGACGCTTGCATTTATTTATTTTGTCATTTGAACCTAATGGAACTGTTTTACGGTTTATCTATATAGCTAAACATACCATAGAAGAGGTCATAAAATTGATGTCCAAACAGCTTTCAAAGTTTTATAGAGAGTTGCAATTTAAGTTGACGACAACTAAATGGTGTCTGCTAGGGACCACTCCTGAGACTCATTGTTTTCATCAGTTGACTTTTAACCAGTGGATTATGAGTTCGAACACCGCTCTACCTACTGACGTTTAGGCAGCCAGATAGTGGGATCATTAGCTGGTATACTATAGTTGTGGTTCATCAGTGGCTGCACAAGATTGCTGAATGGACTTAGATTTTAGATATTTTAAGACTGCCATAGTGGTAATACGTTGGTAAATGTGTTATCACATATGGTGTCTTTCTACTGTGAGAAGGGATGTAAAAATAACCCATTTTTCATGTTCTGGTACTATTCTTGATGTAAAGAGTTGGGGGTATTGAATAACTAATTTCTTATGGTTACACAGTAAAGACTATGGTAGACTGAAGTTAGATGAAGGAGAAATAAAACCGGACGTGGTTTTGTGTCTGCACACAAGGATAATATTGAGAAGGGAAACATATTAAAATGTCACCTCAATTGATGCGCACCATTGAAAAGTCGCAAAATGCAATGAGATAGCTATTTAGTCTTCTCCAGTTTCCTATGGCTTTCCATCTGATGTCAGTCCGTAATGAAAAATACTTTCCTGAAGTTCTAATGAGGAGTTACGACCTATGGTTTAACCAAGTTGAGAATGAGGGGATACCCACTAATGACTCTAGTTGATGGTTGCGCTAAATTACGAACTCATAGAAGTATGAAAATCTAGACTATTCGATTCTCCAACCCAGTTCCCGTATAGTAACATGCACTCTATGATACGTAAGAATTCTGGGCTTTGTCCCTGGTATGGTCTTGAGTGTGGACTGCTGAGGAGTCATTTACTTGGACGAAACAGTTGTCCATTGCTCTCAGGTTTTCAATGGTTCTCCAGCTAATGTTTTTAAAGAAGGGAAGCAAGTAGAAGAAGGGTTGTGAAACAATCAAAAAAGAACAGTGTTCACACTTTTTATAGTGAGAGCAAGACAAAGTGTAGACACGCTTTCATCAGTGCGGTGGATTACGTATCACATGGCTGAGAGCTTCTGATCACCAATTCGAGCTGTTTCACGTATTACAACCAAGAGGTTTACAGTTCATTACACGACTCAATCCAATAGTCACAAATCTCCTTGATTAGAATCATGTATGAGTCTGACCACTTTTAGCTTTCTTCCAATTTGATCCTATCCCAACTAACATAGTGTTTCGAGGGTGGAGGTTGCGGCAGCTAGTTATGTGTAACACTTTTCCAAACTGCCGCGATCACTAATGGTTTATATTCTCATCAACTGCTTTACTTTGTATATTCCACACAACTGTATATGAGAATAATGCATACAAACACCTCATACATTGAAGAACTGCACAGAAAAGTGAATATCACTAGAATTAATAGGCTTAGTTTTCTAATAATAATGGTTACTAGTAGTGGCGTTAATTGGTAGATATTTTTATCATCAGTTCAGCAGTGGTTAAGGCAGATAATTCACATTGTACTTCACAGCATCTTGTAATCATTTTCCAAAATGCTTTTTAAAATGTTTATTTGAAAATCTCATCCTGCATTGAAACGCAACTCAATAATCAATCACACATCTTTACAGTAGACATTAAGCTATCTATACCTGTTGTATAACAGCATACAGTACTATCTGACTGCCTAAACTCCGATAGGTTGAGTGGGATTCGAACTCGATCTGAGCGATTAAAAGTTAAGTGTCCAAACCAAATTACCCACAAATCTATTCTCATTGTATATACCATTTATTGAATTTATAAACTCACTTTGCTTTCTTATTGGTTAACTAAGCTTGCTTCAGCTGAAGTGTGTATACTCATTTGTAGTGATGCAATAAATATGTTCATTTGTATTTTACATCTCATTATACCATATTTGTTACATTGACTATGTGATCGATATTTTGAGTAGTTGTATTTGCCTCCCCCCTCTTTGCCCCTGTTTACATAAAAACGATCCATGTGAATTGTAAAGATACTTTAAACTGTCGATGTATTTGATGTCTAGGTGTTGTTATTTATCTTACCACAGCTTCGACACAACATGGGCTGCAATAAATCTGCCATATCATATGAAGGTTGAGATATTGTTTTGATGTCTCTGGGGATTACTTCTTGTGGATTGAGATCTCAGTTTAATCTAACACTAGGTAAACCAGTAACCAAATTGGATTCATTTATGAGTCTGATGTTTTTACCACCATTGTAGTAGATTTAGAATTTCCCAACTTCTCTAAATGGACATGTCGTCTGAGAATTGGAAGAAAATAGAACCCTAAATCATCATTAAGCAGTATGACTGATAATGATTATCTCGGTTATTGCATTATGTTTAGATTTTCCAGTGTATTCATGTTGTCATTAGATTCTACGGTAAACTAGCCGTTTTGAAACAATTGGCCTTCAACACCTATCTTATTGCTGTCAAAGCTTGTAATTCGCTATTGTTGATTGGCATATGGACTCCTGCTAGGGTATTGGCCGTAATTTCAGTGGAATAATAATGACTGATAATGGTTAGCGTTGGGAAAGCTGACGAGTCCCAAATACGCAAGGAGTGACTATCGTGATAACGCCGTGTTGCTTGAAGCGATGGTTTCTGGATTCGAGTCTCACTGGGAAAAGCAACAGGTACATCCAGGTGACTAGTCTTAGCTGGGATGAAACATTTGTTCTGGATTCCACCACTACTAGCCACTATCCATCATTATAATTATATTGTTGTTTTAATTTGTGAATTTTGCCATGTCCTCGATAGTCTTGATAGTCTTTCAAGCATTTAGTAATGTTATTTTCTTTGCGTTCATCCTGTAGTACTTCTACCAGATGTATTGGAGAAAATCACTGAAGGGAATTTTGCGAAAGCTCAGTCGATCGTTTCCAAGTGGTATGTATAAGAGTGATTTTCTTGTTATCATGTATCGAAATATGATGTCAAATATAATTTCAGGGAGAAAGCTCAAGAAAATCTATAAGGGAATCAAATAGAAAGTTGATAGCGTTTAGAAGAAAACCACTATGGAATGGAATCACCATGTGACCAATGTTTAAGTGAGGTCAAGTGTACTAGGCAAGGTAAGCAAGTCAATTGATGAGGTTGTGAACCTTAATTGACTGGGTGGTTTGGATATATACTACGCATACCGATTCACCGCTTACCTCGGCATGCCATGCTTGATGAAGCTGGATTAGACTGAACAAGATTCAGGGTACTAGATCAAGATGTGACATCAGTCGACAGAGTCTCTGACTGTTTGTATGAATCCTGTGGTTGGGAGATGTAGACTGCCAGGTTGGAGTTCTTGAGACGATAGGAATGAGTGATTGAGAAGTCTTGGTGACATGACTGAAAATGGTGCAGATGTATTCACTCTTTATATTACCCTTGTTATTTTTCCCTCGGGTTCCTAGTGGAACATAGGGCTCCAGTAGCACGTCTCCATTCCACTCTCTTCTCTATAGTCTTTAGAACCTCACTCCACCACTCCCTACTAGCTTCCAATTCTTCCTCCATGTCACCCTCAGATGTTCGACTTGTTGTTTCGCATTTGGATTCCACTCGAGGGACTGGCCTGGCGCGTGATGTCCCTGGATGGTCTTCTCAGTGTTTGTCCAATCCATCTCCACTTTCTTATACTGCATATTTGTTGGTTGATAGGTCCTAGGTTGGTTCGTTGCCAGCCAGCCACAGGTCCTTGTTGCTTATTCTTCCTATTCTGGCCATCTAATCTTCAGTGTGAGTATCGAGTGAGTATAGGTGACAGCTGTTGCTGTATGTCTTTAGTTTGTTGGAAATGTTTTTCGTGATGCGCCACGTCTGTCAGCCATCACATAGAAGCACTGACTTGACTGAATTGGTGTTGAGAATGTGGATGTTGTTCACGGTTTATGCTGAGTGCAGTTGATCTCCACAGTGATTTCAGATTAATGAAAGCGTGTCTTGCTGTGTTTCCAATCGTGGTTTTGACATCCTCATCCGTGCTGCCGCCTACAGTTGAGACGATGTTGCCTTGCCTAGGTAGGTAGGTGGATGAGTGAGGCTACTTGCTTTAGGTTTCTCCCGTCGATGGTGATTGGTGCTTGTTGTTGATGTTGTTGGTTGGTTATGTTCATCACGTGTGTCTTCTCTACGTTCACCTGAAGGAAGTTCCTTGTTTGTTGCCTCCCCTCATCTGTTGTGCCAACTTGTTATTTTTCGCCTGTAGATCTTGTATTTTGTGTGACATTAGAGAGACATAAATGATGATGGACGAAATGTAAATTTTCTTGTGTGGTCTTTTCATCTGTCAAACAGCGTATGTCCGTCTTTTGTTGTATGATCTAGTTGACCACAATCGGGAAGATGATTGGTGATAGTAGGCGGTAATCTTGTCTTACTTTGTCTTCACTTCGAAGGCATGAGTGAGCTTTGCATTGTGAATCAGTTAGCATGTGGCGTTTTCACATATCTGTTGAATGATGTTGATAATGGTTTGTGACACTAAAAGCTTCGATGCTGTTGAAGGCCTTTTCAAAGTCGATGAAGTAGAGGTAAAGATGGAGTTGGCTGCCATTCTCTGCTCTGTTCTATGATGTTTCGTAGCGTAGTGTTGCGATTTGATCCGGACATGATTTGTTCTTTCTGTTCCGGTGGCAATTTTGAATCCAGCGCAACTTTTAGTCTCTCCAGAATGATGCGGCATAATTTCGCTTGGGGTGGACTGCAGGATATGTTCACTGGTAGCTCTGCCGTTGCTGGTGCTATTTATTGGCGTCTGTCTTCAAAATGTTTACCCTTCTACATAACTTTCTCTACTTTCATATAAGTCTTTTTCTATACACATGTGTTTGTATGCTACTATGAAGTGTGACAACTTGTGGTGATGCACTTGTGTTCGAGGTTCTAAGTTGATTTTGTCTGTCTTTCAGAATTGAACTGTGTGTTGGCAGAGGATGGCTGAAGGCTGTATTCTCGAACACCCTTGATTATTCATACATTTTTCCCCTTTCACGAATTTGAATAAAGCAGGATTAATAGTAGTAACTGAATTAGCATGGATTTGTGATTATAAGATTCCAATAGCGCCAGCGCTCAGGATTTACCTTATAGTGGACATAAAGTCCTTCAGAATGATCAGTTGCCAGCTGAAATCCACCCATTGAAGTAGTTGCACTTAAATAATCAAACCTGATCCATGTATTTAGAAAGATACTGTTGTCAGTCTTGCTTTGCCTTGATAGTTTTAATAACCTAAATTTGTAACTACAAAATTTTATGACCCCTCTATAAGAGTAAAACTTGAGCACTGTGTTAGGTTGTAATTCCATTTTAGTCTGTTTATTAGAGATATCATACAGTGAAACAGTGGCATTTACTGGATAAAGTTTCGGAAACAATTTACTGTCCATATTCATATCAGGTAACTTCACAACTTTGAGACAGAGTTTATATATCCCTAATTTTCTCTCCTTCTTTGTGATGACATGGGTAGTAGAATTTTCTATATATCTGGGACAGATGTAGAATCATTCCTGTTACATGTGTTGCGTGTTGATTCGATGAACAAAGATTCAGTTATCAATCTCTCCCTCCCCCATCCAACTAAGTTACTTCTTATTCTGTCGATGTATCCCACTTTAATGAGTAATTGGGTACAACTGCATGCATAGCTGTAGCTGAGATTTTCTGTAAATTCCTTATCTTATTAGGATCTACTAATCTTGATTTAGATAAGTTTTTGTGCTCTCTTATTCTGATTGACCATGGTCGACTACTTTGACCTATATATTTAACCTCACAATCATTGCAAGGGATTCGGTATAGCTGATTATTCTGCCTAGTTGAATAAACATGATCGTTTAACCTACGAAGCTTGTTTCTAAGCGAGTTTGTTGGTTTTAATACTTCTAATGTGCCTTCCTTGTACGGTAACGCAGCAGAGGCTTTAAATTCTTTCTCAACCTTATTACCTTTGTAACAAAAAAGGAGAGAAAGTTAGGACGCAACGCGCATCCTGGATTCTTCTGCTAGCCGCAATCAAGTAAACTACCATCTTAAATATTCAGGTAATGTAATATCTAGGCATCCGCGTAGTAGCGCATATGCCAACAAAATTCGAACAATTTGATCCAGTATAATAGCGGAGCGATACAAGTGTATCTGCAAAAAGCTATATCAACTCTGTCTCAAAGTTTTGGAGTTACCTAATATGAATATGAACAATAAACTGTGTCCAAAACATTATCCAGTCACTGAAACTGTTTCATGGTGTGACATTTCTTATAAATCGACTCATAACCCTCTATTTTTTCACGCAATTTTTCTATCTCCCAACCTATTCTTACTTTTTGAGTTGTTATTCATCTCAATAGTCAATATAATGAAAATTTGTTAACCTTTTATTACACTTTACCGTGATGTCATTTTTACCTATTCTTGAATAGTATTTTGCATACACCCCTCCCATTTATACATATATTTCCTGCTATCTCCCATAGAATATTCATTCTATCACTGTATAAATAGTTAACCTTTGAGTAGTCCTAAAGACTTCATTGACCTCGTTCAACTACAGCGAGTTATCAAAGGAATTGTTTACCTCGAGTGGTGTTTGTGTCATGGATGTCTACTATATCCACATTTATTCAACCTTGTCGCAGGTGCCCCTATCTTCATCTGAATTGATGGGCGATAGATCTCATGGCAGAAGACTTTGTAATCAGCCTACAGTACGTATATGACATATTCCTGTTAGTTGGAGACGTTGAAAAGATTGAAAGTCTTCTGGACACTGAGCGCCAATATGAGAATGTTTAGGATACGTTTCTCGCTTTGTGAATATAAATTGTCTTTGATATCTCGTCTGACAGTAGGGAGTGAAGTAGTTGGACGTGGTGACCATTTCACTTACTTGAGAAGCTGCATCAATCTTGATGGGTTGCTAGTTGATGGAATCCCTGCACGAATACAGATGGCTCGATTCGTTGTTGAGGTATCCAATTACTTGCTAAGGGTTGAGTTTCGTGAGCGACAATTCGGTCTGTCATGCTCTATAGCTAGGAAACTTGGTTGTTTTAGACGGAGGATAGAAGGAGACTTCAGATGTTCGGACATTTTTCCTTCCTAGCGTCAGTCGCGTTGCACGAAGCCAATATGTGTAGTGTGGAGGTTAGACGTAGGAATTCGGCCCAAGAAAGGAAGTCACTTGATAGCTGGTTCTTAACCTTCATCGATTATGATATCTTGTTCATGTATTATGCATGTCTAGCCAGTGTGTACTCCAAGGCGAAATGTTACCTAAAGTTTGGTTAAAGGTTGGGAAAAATCAGATATCTGACTATTTGTCTCAGCATTATAAGGAAGTGTAAAATTGCAGGTTGTGGTTCTGGTAAGAACAGACAGAAACCGTTGGCTGAAGACTATATTGTATGGGTGAGAAATGATTTCACTCGTGCAGCTGCATCCGATTTTCATCTTTATCTCAAATGTTATTTGACATTTCTTTCGGTGTTCGTTTTACGACAGTCCATCATATCCATTTGTTTCGGTATCTTTCATCTTGTCTCTTGTTATCTTGATGTTACAGTGTGATGCGTGCCAACTTGAGTGACTGACTTTAAGTATTTGTGAAAGTATCATGCCAACTCTTCATTGTTATTGTTTGTTTTTTTACGGATATACTTCAACCGTTTTCATGCATTTTTCTGTTTACATATAGGATGACAAATTTAAAATCACGGTTATCAGAGCCATCCAGTTCTTCAGGACGACGTCAGTCTGCTCGAAGAGAGCCGGAACAACGTGTCTCCGATTCATGCAGTCTACCAAAATGGTTGAGATTAGGTAAGTTCTTCTAGGTAATTTGATTGCTACGAAAATTTTATATTTTGCGATTCCTTTGTATCAACTTGAGAAATTATCACAATATCATGATTTCATGAATCGCGTTAGTTTGTCTACTGTAAATATAATGCAACTAAGCAAACACGCGCAGATTTATATAGGGAATCGTGAACAGCACATCTATTGTATCAGTGGTAACGGTACTAGTTGGTTGTTCAAACATCGACGGCTGAAGTGGGGTTGAAACCTCTGAACTTTTTAGAGTCGACGATCGTTTCCGGAGGGTAATAGCCTAAAAGTAAATATTACTTGTGTATAAATATAAAGCCAAACTCGATACAGTTCGTGCTGTATCTTAAATATGTTCATTCTCTCCCATTATAGGGCTGTGAGATGGGGTCGTTAAAAGTAGAAGATATAAAGAGATTACAGGTTTTGACCACAGGTATCTTCGTAGCATTGCTAGAGCGTTGTAAAGTTGCCGTATAAGTAGGATTGAGGTTAGCTGTAGGATACTAGGCGATGAAGGTTGTAAACTGTCAGTGCATGAGATGGCATAGACACGTGTTGCAAATACTGAGACTCCACCTACGTCGATATGCAGTGTTACCGGAAACGGTATTGACTAGACCTATGTTTGATACCGGTTCAAGGAGTCTTTAACTGTTCATTCGAGCCTTGTATGCAGATGATAGATATCGGTGATTGGAGATTGTTGTTAGTTTGGTTTAAAATTGTTCACAGTGGGGAGAATGTATACACCCTTTTTCATACTGATATGAATTATGGATTGTTGATACAGTTATGCTTATGATATTCTTCATTTTGCATAACACTTCTTTTAATCTGATTGATATGTGATATGTTGGGTTCTTTTGAATAAGCATTTTACTAAACCTCGTCTGTACTGTATTCAACAGAAACTATGAAAGTCAAGGTACTGTCCAGTCCATGTAGGTTTTCTATACACTGACCTTTTTATCGATATCAGTCATTTTCTATCCACCTTTTACTTCATATGCTACTGCGGAATGTGGTTACTTGAACCGATCCATTTGTGTTCGAGGCTCTATGTTGGTTTCATCTGTCTATTCGACAGATGCCTCTACGCCACTGTGATATATTTCGATCCATATCATCTGGAGACTTCAATCACCTCTTCTGGTTGTCATGTGGATCCTCAGTCGTAGACTTTGTAGACTGATGCCAGGTTTTATTCTTGTCATCTCTGACTGTTTTTCAGCCTAAACATACTCTTGCTAATATTGGGTACACGTTGACTAAGCATGCATAGCACATTTCTCAGCCAATTATTGCTCACAGTCACATTAGCTGACTTGCCTATTTTACTTCAGAGTCTAAGCATGACATATACACTTCGAAGAGCCTCTAACCCATTAATTGTGTACATTTAGTATTCAGTGGGTCGCAGGTTCAAGCTCTTCATATACCAAGCTACTGTCTGAGTAATCTGCATGCAGAGAGAGAGAGAGAGAGAGTAGTGACGCTAGCAGTATTGCTAAGTGTAATTTCTGGTGAGTTTCATCCCTTCACTGATGATGATTGGTGGTCATTTTAATTCATAATATGCATGAAATTGAATCTCTCATAGCATCAACCGTTCATTTTCGTTCAACTTTCTATCTTGATACTGATGAATGCCAGGATGATTTTTCATTCTGAAGTATTTCTCAGTATTCACTATCTTTAAAAGTTATTTTCTCATCTGTCTCTTTCCCCCCTTCATATTTTTTTAATTGAAGGAAAATGAACTCTACTCCTTCACATTGTGTGCGTATGTGTAAATCTGGATTGTACGCTTAGAGTTTTGTCTTTCTCTCCCTCTCGGTTATCACTTACAAGAGATCAACAAGGTTACAGTGGATTCAATGCCAATTACAAAATTTACTGACCTTCATACACTTTTGTTTACTAACCAGTTTTTTGTCCCCTGAAATTGAGAATATGATATAAAATGTTTGAAGTGTGAATTTTGTTTGCTGTAATAAACAACTTCTGTCGCCTTTGTTTTCGCTATAATAATCACACATGAAGATTTTGGAAAGTCAATTCAGTTTGTGTATGTATGTATGTATTTGTCATGTATGTCCACTTCACTGGCTCATGTTTGTGGTGAACGTTCCGCTACCAAGTCGGATAGCATGCTTAGTTTACTTCATTTATTGTTTGAAAAACAAGAATCTATTGTAATTTAAATAAGTAAATTTCTTCTGTTTATTCTTAATCATATTATTATTTCCTTGGTGGTGGAATCTAGGACTTGCGTTTCGTCCTATTTGGAACTCGTCAACTAGATATATTTGCATCCCAGTCAGTGATGTTCTTCCCACTGAAACTCGAACCGAGTACACATCGCTTCAAACGCCAAAGCGTTATCTACTGAGTGAATTATAATAATGAATAATAAGGTAATATCGCAGTATTCACACAAGAAGCCATATGATCAATTCGTTGCAGTAGAAAAAGGGGGAAAGTACAAGTGTTGACAAATAATAATGAGGTAATATTCCTCATGGACTGATTGTAATTGGCGTAGCTAGTGCGTACGCCATGAAACCTGAAGGTCCTGAGTTTGATTACTAGCGAGGTTGTTGATGCCAGCTGATGTGTAATCGCATACTGTGACGACAAAGCTTTCCAGTTCCTCTAAATGATGTTAGTCCGTGATGTATACTACCTTAAAAAATAGGATGCTCCTAGACCTCAAACTAAATAATTGGAATTTAGTTGTATTGGTAGGTTTATTATAGCTAGCTAGTCTCTTGTATTCATATCAATAAGGCATTCATAAAATAAGTAAAGCAGAATGATACTATTTCATAGTTTTTCTACAATCGCATAACAACTAACATGATTAACAATGATAAATTATTTATCAACATTTGCAGTTATATGAAGTAAAGAAAACTATCATTATCTAATGATTCTACATCGACATCCACTATTTTCGGAACACAATTTTGAGACTGTATGGTTAATTTCAAGTGTTTCTGTTATATGTAATGAAACAAGTGCAAAGCAATTCTTCCCCTTTGATAAATTTGAATAGAGGAAAAGAACAGATTTAATCGGAGAATAGTATGAATGTATTTTATTTTGGTGTATTTCTCATTAGGTATTTACAATCTAAAACAATTTGAACATGAATTTGTACAAGATGTTTGATAGAAAATTTCCGCTTTGACAATAAAAAAGATAATATTGATATGACATAATTGAAGACATATGAATTGAGTGAATAAATATACAAGAACTATTAGTAAGTTGGTAGAACATCGAGCCGAAAACCCTGTGGTCGCTGGTTCGAATCCGTCCGCGGTTCAAAATATTCATTTCACCGTCAATCATCACCCCAGTATAAATATTAGGCTGCCAAACTACAGCTATCTCAGATAGTCAAATGATAATTAATAGTAAGTTTATTAATGTGAAGGAGGATTAGACAAATATTCTACAACGAACGTTGGATAAGATGGAGATGAATATATTTGGTCATGCATAAAAGGGTCACAGGATTTACGTCAAATAAGAAAATAAAATGAGTCGAATTCACTCTTAAAGTCTAAATCGTTTAATAGTGAAACGCGACAAATTCGAATTCAGCAGCGTAATAATTATTTTGAATGACCTCTGGATATCAATTCTATTGTTATTATTTGTCATTTACGTTCCTAGTGAAACATGGGGCTTCAGTAGAACGTCTCCATTCCACTCTCTTCTCTGCAGTCTTTTGAACCTCACTCCACCATTGCCCAGAAGCTTTCATCTCTTCCTCACACGATCTCTTCCACATTACGTTTGACTCGGACGCCCAACTCGTCGGTTTCCCTTCGGGTTCCACTCGAGGACCTGACGCATGATGTCCTCGAATGGTCTTCTCAGTGTTTGCCCAATCCATCTCCACTTTCTTATACTGCATATTTGTTGGGTGATAGGTTCTTGGTTGGTTCGTTGGAAGGCCATAGTTCCTTGTTGCTTATTCTTCCTATTCTGGCCATCTAATCTTCAGTGTGAGTATCGAGTGAGTGTAGGTGGCAACTGTTGATGTATGTCTGTAGTTTGTTGGAAATGCTTTTCGTGACACGCCACGTCTGTCAGCCATCACATAGAAGCACTGACTTGACTGAATTGGTGTTGAAAATGTGGATGTTGTTCACGGTTTGTGCTGAGTGCAGTCGATCTCCACAGTGATTTCAGATTAACGAAAGCGTGTCTTGCTGTGTTTCCAATCGTGGTTTTGACATCCTCATCTGTGCTGCCGCCTGCAGTTGAGACGATGCTGCGTTGCCTATGTAGGTGGATGAGTGAGGCCACTCGCTTTAGGCTTCTCCCGTCGATGGTGATTGGTGCTTGTTGTTGATGTTGTTGGTTGGTTATGTTCATCATGTGTGTCTTCTCTACGTTCACCTGAAGGAAGTTCCTTGTTTGTTGCCTCCCCTCGTCTGTTGTGCCAATTTGTTACTTTTCGCTTGTAGATCTTGTATTTTGTGCGACATTAGAGAGACATAAATGATGATGGACGAAATGTAAATTTTTGTGTGTGGTCTTTTCATCTGTCAAAAAGCGTATGTCCGTCTTTTCACAGCTCCTCACAGTTTTTTGTTGTATGACCTAGTTGACCACAATCGGGAAGATGATTGGTGATAGTAGGCGGTAATCTTGTCTTACTTTGTCTTCACTTCGAAGGCATGAGTGAGCTTTGCATTGTGAATCAGTTAGCATGTGGCGTTTTCACACAGCTGTTGTATGAGGTTGATAATGGTTTGTGACACTAAAAGCTTCGATGCTGTTGAAGGCCTTTTCAAAGTCGATGAAGTGGAGGTAAAGATGGAGTTGGCTGTCATTCTCTGCTCTGTTCTATGATGTTTCGTAGAGTAGTGTTGTAATTTGATCCGCACATGATTAATTTTTCCTAAAGCCAGCCAGCCTGTTCCGGTCCTGGTTTAGATGCAGAGCATTTTTTGGCCTCTCTACGATTATAAATTTCATGCTTGGCATCAACAGGGTGAAGAATAATGGCTCTGTTAAAGACTTTTCCATCTCTTAATCACAAATTTCTTGGAATACACTGATATATGCTATCAAAATGCTTTCTTTCTGCGCTTACAATGTATGTGCTGCGTCACGTATGCGCGAATTGCTGTATACAGTCGTCTTCCTATCTAATCAAAATTCCGCTCTAGAATATTTCTCTAATTTCTGTGTATTTACAAACGTACTGTTGATGCTGGGTTGTGATTGATCGTGAAATGAAAATTTGGCCTGCAGCAGGACTTGAATCAAGGACCACCGAGTTTCCAGCCTGGGGTTCTACCAGCTGAGTTACGAAACCCTTATTCTGACCAGAGTTTTATTTCACTTCAACCATCATGAATTTTTCCTGACTTCCATATTAACTCGTTACGCGTTACTGTCTCTTGTTCATAAACTAGTTGCCTAGTCAGGAAAAGGAAGAATTGTATAAACAGTCATAGGTGTTCGAGAATATAGCCTTCAGCCATTCTCTGCCAACACGCAGGTCCATTCTGAAAGATAGAAAAAACCAACTTAGAACCTCGAATACAAGTACATCCCCACAAGTTGTCACACTTCATAGTAGCATAAAAACACAGGTGGATAGAAAGAGACTTATATGAAAGTAGAGAAAGTTATGTAGAAGGGTAAACATTTTGAAGACAGACGTTAGTGGAAATATTCAAGACTTAGAAGATGCTAAGGAGTGAATACATCTGCACCATTGTAATCGATTTTCAGTCATATCACCAAGACTTCTCAGTCACTCATTCCTATCGTCTCAAAAACTCCAACCAGGCAGTGTACATCTCCCAACCACAGGATTCATACAAACAGTCAGAGACTGTATCGACTAATGTCACATCTTGATCTAGTCACCCTGAATCCTGTTCCAGTCTAATCCAGCTTCATCAAGCATGGCATATCTAGGCAGATAGTCGATTATCCAACCAATTTACCTATCATAAAACTGGGAGTAGATGTACCTGACCAGTCCTGGAGTATCATTTTGAATTTTAAAAGTGTCAGCAAAACGTATGTCAAACATACTCAGATTTATGCTCAATGCATTTAAGAAACCCTGCATTTTATCAGCTCCTTCGTCTTAGAAAATAGTGTTGTCTGCATATTCAATGTCAACCAGATGGCCTCGAGATGGTAGATTTGTGCCTGTGAGGTCAGACATACCTTAGGTGATGTCCATTAGTATATCTATGACGAAGTTAAATAGAAACGGTGACAGTGGAAAACGCTGGCAAACACCAGTTGTTGTCGTCAATTCAAATGACAACTCTCCATCAGCCCTTACACGGCTGCATGAGTTTGATTAGGGAGCTTTGATAAGCATTATATACTTGCTCGATACTCTTTTCAAAGTCACACACTCATAACCTAGGAAGATGAATGAAATGAGAGAGTAACAACACAACTGTGTTATATCCTTTGACCTTTGGAGCAAATGTATCTTTCGTCAACTTCTGATGCTGATCCAAATTGGAGACCAATATCAGCATCTTGGAAATTTAGGTGAGAATACAACTTTGATTGGCTGAATCTTTGATATTTCAGTTGATTTTACTAAAGCAATTCACTTGTCACTTTGAACTTACACTAAAAACTGATCCAAACTGGTTATTACGTCATCTCGCCATCAATTCCCAATACTTTGTTAAGTTATCATGTTGGTTTGGTGTGCAATGATAAATAAAATTCACCTTATTATCGGTATATCACGAA